CTCTAATATAAAATATTATCTAGTAATTAATCGAATAAATTTTTAAAATATTGATTTTTTACAAAATTGCAGGCTAATAAAAAAAAATTTCAATTTTTATTGAAAATTTTAGTTTTTAACTTTTAAAATAATAATTAAATTATTTTGTTATAAAAAATACAAAATATTTGTTGCATTAATTAATTATTTGGTCAATTATTGGAAAATATAGTTAAGAAAATTGTGTAAAAATTATAGATTGATTTAATTAGCCGCTTTTAATAAATCTTGCTTAACGATTTTAAAAAGTCGAAAGGCACTTCAAGTTTTTTCAATCCAAGGCGGCTTTACAAAAATATCTTTAAAAATAATTGTTCAGTTGGCATTAAATTTCCTGTGTTTATACTTAAATATTTCTACTTTACAAAAATGAAATTTTAAAAAATTGATCGTTCAAAAATTGTATCAAAAAAAATTTAAAAGTTAGTCAAAATATTTTTGAAATTAAGCCATTTTTTAAGAAGAAAATTGAATGCAAAGTTGAGTTAACTGGATCCGCGGTTGAATGCTGAATGCTCCAGCTCATGCTCCAGAGTAGAGGGTATTCTTCAAGTAAATTATAGTCTTGAATGGCGACACGGCGGGGGGTTGGTTGGCACGCGCACGTCAGCCTACACCTGCCCCCTATAGACATCTGTCCCACTATTTCGTTCTCTACTATATATGTATATATATAATAAATACATATATATTTCGATCGCAAAAGTCAAACTCGTACACATATACCTTCAACAATGTCCCATTTTTTCAGGAGTAAAATAATTAATGGTCAAGTACTAAAGAGCAAGAGCCTTTTTCTATTCAATGCCCCAGTTCAGCTTCATAATTTATATTGCACATGTAAAAATATATATCTATATACTTATACATACCTATTAAATGGAACCAGCGTTTAATTTTTTGCCCGCAAAAAATAATATAAAGTTTGTTTGCAGAATAGTTCGGGCGGGAACTTCCCGAGTTCCATTGAAGGATAATAAAAAAAAGAAGGAAGAAAGAAGAATAGTGGATGGATAAATGATAAAAGCAAACAGAATTTCCATATTTACGGAATTAAGAGAGTCGCCGTGATCGAACGCAGTCGCTGTCAATGTCAAAGGGACGACATATATCCCTGCGGTGGTCTCTAAGCTCTTTGTTCGTGGTTTAACTACAAAAGCCTGCAAATGCCTCGCCATAAAAAGCCGCGGCCACCCCCTTGTACCACCAGCACACTCTATTCTGAAAGATATTCAAACAGATGCGGAAATTTGATGCTGAAGATGCTTGTCTAAATTTTTCTTTTATCTATGTCTATCGTTGTAATAACCAAACTCCTCTTTTGCCTAAAGAGCTTGTGTTTAAAAAATTCTATTGTTTATTTGATAGTATTTTTAGTATGGAATAATCAATTGCGCTTTGGAAAGTCCCTATTTTTTTTTTTTTTTTCAAGACTATTTTTGATAAATAAATAAATAATTTTATTATAATAAAATACTCTCAACTATATAGTTTTAATGGATAATTTTCGAAAATATGAAAAAATTTAGATCATTTTTTAAATCTTAGAACTTTTTACATTCACAGACAATTTTATAAAGTATCAGAAGATTTTATAACTACACTAAAAAAATTAACTTGAATCAAGTAAATAATTAAAAAAAAATTCATCTTCTTGATTTGATTAGAAAAATTCTTAAAATAAGAAATTTTTCTCAATTTGAATAAATTTTATTTGATTCAAGAATTTTTCTTCTTGATTCAAGATAAATAATGTTTTTAAAATTACTTTCTTGGTTCAAGAATTTTTCATTTGATTCTATGAAATGTTTATTTTATTTTATTTATTTATTTCTTGAAATACCTCTATGCAATTGTACATGAGAATCATACCAAAAAAATAAAAAGGGCGACTTTAAATATAATAATATATACAAAAAAAAAAAAATAACAATAACAATTTCCAGAATAATCAATTTAAAATTGCTTCTAGCTTTTAAATTCAAACATCACTTAAAATATATTATTACTATTAATTTATAATGCCGATCGGCGTTATTTTGTAATAAATGAACATGTAAATAAATAATTTAATCTAAAGATGCTCCAAAAAAATTTGCGTTAGTAGCGCATTCATTAATAAGCCTGGAAATCTTATATATAACGAAGAGTGCGAGAAAAGAGAAAAGAGCGCGTCTTACATATACGGAATATCCATTATTCTATTTGATCTTAGATTTATATTAATCACATTAAAACTCAAAACCCAACTAGCAGTTTAGTCATTAATTTTGAAGCAATCTAAAATCTTATTTCACACCAAAAACCTTTTTTTTCATCATCGAAATTCTTCTTCTAAAAATTCCTATCAAAGTTTAAAAAAAATTCTAATTTTTTCTAAAAATAATATTTAAATAGTAATGATCAATTTTTGACTAATCTTCCTAGCTAACAACCAATAAAGTATTTTTCAGTATTAAAATAAATAAAGAGAAGCAATCACTCAAAAATGAATCCGATGATTAATTTAGAATAAAAGAGCTATTTGCAAACAAACTTGCAAGCTGTGTCAAATCCGTTAGTTCCACGATTCAGTCGTTTCCCCAAATTCTCTCTTTCGTTTGTATTTCATTCATGCAACCACCTAATACCCAATACCCAATACCTATGTATACAGCGGGAAAGTGACAGCCGGCGTTCACGTTTGGGGAAGCCTTTTCATCAAATTTTTTTCCTGCTCATATCTACCATCAAACTTAAAATTTTCCTGGCAGGAAAAGCAAGAAGGAAAGGAAAGGTGTTCATTTTAAAAGTACTATCTGACGGAACGAGGAGGGAACCATTTAACATACAAGCCTGAGCATTATTATCTGATACTTAATGTTTCAAAATCAATAACACGATGCCTACAAATAGAAATCAAAATGTCTGATGTCTGTTTAATGGTAGTGATTTAGGAGCACCTCTCTCCTTCTCTCTCTCTATCTTTCTCCGCATGATCGTTACCGTCGAGTGCACATATCGATCGGACTAATAATATAATACAAGTTGGTAAAGCATCTGAGCTGTCGGCTGGTTGGTACTCGGTAGAAAAGCAGTCCGCTGTACTGTACGAAGTATATTGCAGTCAGTACACACTACTACCGCTGGCTGTTGATTGTACAGGGGTGCTGGTCTGTAGAATGACATACTGGTGGCATAGGTGACCCCTTAGAGGCGAGGGGGCCAAGGGGAGCGCGGACCAAACTTGTATTGATATGATGTGGAATTGAGTGTGGAAGAAAGAGAAAATGACTAGTCCAAATAACGCCTGGGGGACCAACTTTCCCCAATTCACGGAAATTCACAAAAATTACCCTGACCAATCACTTTGAGCACTTAATCGATGATTAATGACTGCGACTATAACTATAACTGCTCTAACTATAACTATTACTTCCCGAATAAATTACAGGGATAAAGTTAATCTTTGTATTTTTCGGGGTTTTGTTTTTTGTTTTTTAGGTAAATGCCGGGTAAATTTGTTTTTATTTTTTTGGAGGGTAAGAAGGAAGTTGGGAATTGATTTTGATGTTTTTTTTTTTTTTTTAAGTAGGTTGTAATGATTTTTTGATTTTGATAATTAAACGATTGAAGTTTTGGAATTTGAAGGAAGGGTAAGATAATTTTGATTGGAAATTTTGAATAATTAGGTCAAAATTTTCAATTATTTTGGCCTGGTAGGAAGAAGACTAGAAGAATTCAAATTTTGATGGAGAAATTTTCAGAATTAATTAATAAATTGATATATTTTAATAGAAGTGACTTTAATCATGATTAAAAAAGTTCAAATTTTAATTTTGATTACAATTTTTGGATATTTGAGTCGAAATTTTAGTTTTTTTGTGTTTAAAGAAGAAATATATAAATTATTTTAATTTAAATATGGAAATTTTGAGAAAAAATAAATAAATTTTGATACATTAAATTTGCGATGATGATTAAAGAATTTCAAGTTTGAATTTTGTTCAAAATTTTTGTCTTTAAAGAAGAAATAAAAAAATTATTTAAATATTCAGTGTAGAAACTTTTATAATTATGATTATAGATATAAAGTTTTAACAAAAATTATTTAAACTCATTAGAGTTAATGATAAGTGAAATAAAAATTTCAAAAGTTTGAAACAAAAATTTTAAAAGTCAAATTTTATCAACAGAATTTTGTTTTGAAAAAAAAAAAAAAATATTAATGTTATTGTATAATTAAACTGAAAGTTAAATCGAGTGTTCTTTTAACTGATCAAAACGTCAATGTTTATTATTTCAGGTTCAAGTAGGGCGCCCTTGTTATGGAAATATGTTTTCACAATCCCGATAGTCCTTATAACACCTGAATGATTGATCGGCCCGATTGGTCATGCTATGACTTTCCACATGTCTATACACGAGTTGTATCGAAATTTAATTATATTAAATATTAATATAAATATAAATCCTGCGAAAATTTGACAAACATGATAGAAATGTAATCCGATGGATTACCAACCGCATCGGAAATTACAAACTCGAGAATTAGTGATACATCTGTCCGTGATTTTGATCTTCACAAAAGTATAATAAGCGGCACGTGCCCCGGCAACTCAGGCACGTGTTATCAATTTATTCCATTCCTGTAAAGTGGATTAATTTTTTCACTCACACTCATGCATACTTTATTTTAAAATCACAACACCAATAATTGGTAAAATATTACTTTATTCAATATTCACTATAAATTTATCTGTACAATATTTATTATTAATACATATATACTTTCCCTGAATAGATAAATTTTAAGAGCACTGTCATAGGCATTATCTTATCAATAGTTAATCTTAGTTTTAAATTTCTGATCAATGGCAAGCTTATATTTTAACAGAAAATATTACGAGATCATTTACATATTTTTTCTTTGACTAGAAGATATTTATGCAGTCTGATTTATTTGAACTTTAGTTGATCAGTCAAGCTTTAGTAATTAACTATTAACTATAAACTATTTATTACTAATTGCTAAAATTATGTAGATAAATAAAACATCTCTTACAAAGTAGATAACATTGACATTTTTCACTGTAAAAAATTTTTGGTGTCTAGAAAAATTAAAAAAATCAAAACTTTAAATTCTGGGCGAAATATTGAAAGTATAAAAACATCATACACTTAAAAAAAATGCTCTTGAATCAATTATATAATTTTTAAGAATTTATTCTTGATTTAAGGAGAAAAATTCTTGATTTAAGGAAATTTTTCTTGATTAAAATTTTTTCGTCTTGATTTAAGACAATTAAACTTTTCAAAATTATATTCTTGGTTCAAAAATTTTTCTTTTGAATCAAGTTAATTTTTTTTTTTTCAGTATAAGAGACTTTTTTATTTTTTTTAAGATTTAAAATGAAATAATTTTTTCCTAGCTTTAAAATTTTTCTGAATAAAATATCAAAAATTCGGAAAAAATTATAGGATATTTTTTTTTATAGAAAATTCAATTATCTAGACAAAAAAGTCATCAATTTTTTCATATCTCGCGTTTTTGGCCAGAATTCCAAGTTTTAAACTAGTTTTTTCCTAGCTTTAAAATTTTTCTGGATAAAATATCAAAAATTCGGAAAAAATTAGAAGACACTTTTTTTTTTTTTATAGAAAATTTAATTATCTATAAAAAAAAGTCATCAATTTTTCCATATCTCACTTTTTTCGGCCAGAATTTCAAGTTTTAAACCAAAACAACATTTTCAAATGCTTTTGCAAATACTTCAAAAAATTATCAAATTAATCAAAAAATAATAGCAAAAAAAATTTTTCACTTATTAAACATGAAAATTAAAATAAAATTCACCAAAAATTTTTTACAGTATTACATAAAAAACACTGCACATTAATTAAATTTATAATTACTCATTTCAGAGATAAAATAAATAAAAAAAAAAAAAATCAGAGACACTGGTACATATTAGAGTGATTATGGTTATGATGAGCAAAGTGTGATTGATTGATCTGTTGATGAGGAATCGAGTACATCGGGGTCTGCTCGTAGCAGTGGGCCTGATACTGCACTGGAGGGCTGACACTTTGGTCGCTGTAGCAATCGTACTCTTGCCACTCGGGGACGAATCTCTCCTGGGGGTAGGGAAACGCAGGATGGCTGGGTCCTAATCTTTTCTGGGCCGCGACTGCACAGCTTCCAGTAGAAGAGGTGATCATGTTGCCGGTCTCGCTGATGCTAACAGTGACGTTGCCGACGTTGACGGTGATTTCCCCGGCTTCGCTGTTCCCCAGGGTCTGGGATAGCGCCCATATGTAGTTGTGGGCGAATCTCAGAGTCTCGATCTTGGTAAGTTTAGTGTCCTCGGGAAATGTGGGCAGGGCCATTCGCAGCCTTTCCAATGCGTCGTTCAACGTATGCATGCGGTGACGTTCACGGTCATTGGCTTTCATTCGCCGGTTTCTTTTGAGCTTCAGGACCTGCCACAAAATAAATATTTTTTTAGTATTTTAGTCTGGGAATTTTTGTTTTTATTTTTTTTAGTCATTATTTTTTTAGCTTTATAATATTTTTTATTAGTTTTCTGAGTATAGGGAAGTATTTTTGATTATTTCAAGTGTGGAAAGAAATTAATTACAAGTTTGAATTATTTTTAAGAATAAAAACAATCTTTTAAACAAAAATTAAAATTTTTTAAGTCAAAATATGATATGTAAGACTTGTTTAAATTTATAATTTTGAAATAAAATAATAAGAAAAATTTTAATAAATTATTAAATAGAAAAAAAAATCTGTCTAGTATTAAAGTTACTCTAAACTAAATTTTTTTCAGTAAAAATTACATATAGTTTAACAAAAGTTCTTATAAAACAATATTTTATATAAGTTTCAATTGAAATTCCTTTAAAAAATATTTTTATCAGAATTTTTTATCCATATATTATATTTTTAAAGTTATTTTTATATTTTGTACTTTCAATTACACTTCAATTTATTTTCGAAGTACAAAACTACTGAAGTAAATTTTCGATCAATTTTTCTGTATAAAGAAAACTTTTTTCCATCGATTTGAAAATTACAAGCATAATTTTCGGTATGTATTCAATGTAAATCAAACTTTCCAATATTTTATACATAAACTATTTCAACTAGTTTTTTTTTTTATTACTTTCAAAGTAATATTATTCATTATTTTAATTTTTTCAATAACAAACTGCAAAATTATGTATCTTTTTAAAGCAAAAATTAATTTAATTTAATTAATTAACTATTTCAACTAGTTTTTTTCATTACTTTCAAAGTAATATTATTCATTATTTTAATTTTTTCAATAACAAATTGCAAAATTATGTATCTTTTTAAAATAAAAATTAATTTCCACAACAAGAAAAAAAAATATTTCTCAATATTTGTTTAAAATTGATTCTTCAAAAAAATTATCACCTTGTTCTTTAACATTTTTTGTTTAGTACTCAAACTTTAAAAAAAAATTTCCCTCAATTTTATATTCTTAAAAAATTAAAAATTATAATTTACCTGCGTCGGACTTTTGCACCGTGTGTTCCTGGTTTTCTTCTTCTTCTCTTCCTTGATCGGCGGAAACAGAGAATCAACCACCGAATTAATTTCGTGTTTCGGGGACTCGAAACTAACATCAAACCCCGAATCAGACGAGCTTGACATCTCGTCGAACCCGTTTTCACTGCAGTAAGAGTACTCCGAAGACATTTCTTCTGAACCAATCAAACAGAACAATAAAAATTGACAAATAAAATTTAAATTTTCTTCCACTTTATTTTACTTAAATTAACCAGCACACTTTTATTATTTCTAGGACACTGTTAAACTAGGACCAAAGTACAAAAATAAAAGTCTAAAAATATACTGGCAATAACAGAGTACTCGAAAGATCGAAATCACTGGTAGCTGACAAGGAACCTTCCAAACTCGGGGTACGACTCGTCACTGCATGTGCTAAGGGTCTCTCGAGATATATATATAGGAGTAGCTCGAGGGTAGTTTATAGTACCCCCCTCCATAATCAACTACCGTTGGGGTACCCGTAAGCACCCGAACCTACCAGTTTTACCCCGTAATCGGCATCACGCAGTCTACTGAATAAGAGGGGTCCTGCTTCTTTCTGTGAATATATATATGTGTACGTATGTGTGTGCATCTACCCTCTATCTGATGTGCATCTACATCCACACACGGTCATACGGTCATAACACACAAGCGCGTGCCATGCGTCCTATACTAGCCGATAGAGAAATGTCTATAATATAAAAGCTAGACGCCTCATTTTCGGATTAGAGGTTTCCTGCACAATTTCACTTGGCTTTTACTTTTAGATTTGTTTTGTTCGCTAACAAACCACCCACGTTTTTTCACCCTAATTAATATTTGAGGGTTAATTAATTTACATTCATGCAATGGAAATTTTTTTAGGGTAGTAATTATCTGTAATTTAATAGAAAAATAATTGTGAAAATTAATATATTTTCTTTTTAATTAACTATTATAATTTTTACTAAGTATTTTTTTAAGATTTTATGGATTTTTTAATTTAAAATATAATTAATTTGAATCAAACTTTAATACGTATTTTATAAAAAGAATTTTTTAGTTTATTTCTTCATTATTTATTTAAATATTAAGTAAATTTTATTTTTTTTAATCTTTATTATGAAGAAATAATTTTTAAAATAAATTATAAAATTTTTTTTAAGTATTTTTAGTATTAAATTAATTTATTTAGCACTTTAAAAAATTATTAGAAAAATTCTTCAAGAAAATTAATAAATTGATTTAAAATATTGAAATTTATGATCAATTTATTAAATTTTGAGCTGAAAATTTTTTTAATCAAAAAATTACTTCCTTAATTTATTAAAAAATTTATTTTGTTCAAAATTATGACGAAAAAATTTATAAATGTTCATATTAAAATTTTATTACTAAATCAAGAAAATTAATTTGATAAAAATATTGAAAATAATTTATTGAAGATTTTGTATAAAAAAGTTAAACTAAAATATTAAAAAAATAATAATAATTGCATACTCACTCAGATGCAGAATAAACGACCGCAAAGTTAGAAATAAAAATGCCGTACCTCTGTAAAAAATAAAAATACTGGAAGATAATCCTTGACCATATGTCGCGTTCGATAAGAAATTGCCATAGAAACCGGTGAGCACCATTATCATTATCATTATCACTATCATTAAGCATTAAACGTAATATCATAGTCAGATTGGATTGGATTACATTTCTCTTTTACAGTTACTTAATTTTTAAACCCCCGGCGTAAAAAGTCTACGGTACAGTGGCCCACTTTCGGTTTGTCATCTCTTTGTCGCTATTTTACGATCCTCATTCATTAACATACAGGTAGTTTTTATTGTCATGCACATATCACGCATTGTATTATACAAATATAAATATAGAGGACGTACAAGAGGAAGAGTCTGCAGGTTGAGGATTACGCACTCTATTATGTATAGATCTAAAATATTTATGACTGCATGAGTATTATACACACATGAGTAATATACACATATATATGGGTGAATTTTGTTTGATGCCTCTCATTAGCATATGCATAATAAACAGTGAATTTTCGGGTGATTGGCTCTGCATTGATATTGATACGTAAACACATATTCATGTTATATTCTATCACATATGCTACTATGGTACATGCTATTTGTTAAAATAAATGTGTAAAATGGGTAAAGGATTCGACGACATTCTGTGACGAATTATTGGCAATAAATTTAGATATATATTGGGGATCAATGACGATAAGTGGATAGAAAATTATTTAAATTATTATTTTTTTTTATAAACATTTTTAATATTGTAATAGATTGTTAAAAAATTCGTAAATTTAATAAATTTTTGGTATACAAAAATATGTTAAAATTCAATATCAAGTTTATGAAAAAAATTTATCATTAATTTATTGTAATATTACTTGGAAAAAATAAAATTAGAATTTATTTAGTACACTGAAAAAAAAAAAAGAGAAAAATTACATTATAAATAATGTAATAATGTAATAATAAGCGTCTTTTCATATAAAAAAACTCGTAAAATTGCAGTTCAAAATAACATTTTTATAAATTCAAACTTTGAATGTTAATTTTCAGAGCTTTTAATATAATATTTACATTTTACAATGTAATTTTTAAAAAATTTGTTATAATTACAATCTGAAATTGTAATTTTTTCAGTTTCTTATATAAAGCGTCTCGTTACATTATATTATGTAATTTTTCTCTTTTTTTTTTCCGCGTAATAAGCATCGCTTAAAAAATCAAATTGTAAAAATTTAAATTTAAAATTAAATTTTTAATATTACTTTTTACAGTTCTAAGTATAATTTTATAGGATTTTTAAAAATTACAATCTAAAATTTTAATAGTTTTTTTTATGTCTAAAAATTGAAAATTAAAAAAAAAATTTATTACTACAGTTATAAAAAATCCCAATAAATTTTTTTTTACAATAGTGTAATTTTAGACTCATAAAAAAATTAATTTAAGAAACAAAATCCTGAATCAAAAAAAAAATTTTTTTTAATTTAATCACTTTTAATCAATAAAAAAAATTCTTAATGATAAAATTCTTGAATAAAGTTAATTTTTTTATTATTGTAGTTAAGGTCATTGGACGGAGTAATTATAATTAGATAATTACAATAATAATTATACGATAGCTTTAATTTATTTAAATAAAATATAAAAACAATCTGGGAAATTCGAGAGAATTGTATCATACATTATATATGATGCATACAATAGTAAATAATAGTTAGATAGTTATGATTGTAAGCATGAGATACAGTGAGTTGCATAGAGTCGGGTACAAGCGAGTAGAAATGAGAAGAGGGAAAGGCACTTGAGATTTCGTGATGCAGTTCTGAGGTAAACGGCAAAACATATCCTGGGAAATGCCGGACATTATAAAGTTGCTGCATGAGAAGATGCGAAAAATATGAAGGAGTGGAGGTGATAGACGGTTAACCCACTTCTCACGATGCCTTTTCTCACTCTGGATCCCATTTATGGAAAAATATTAAATATTGTATTTGTTAATTGTAGTTTTCAAAATTTATTTTATATAATTGTTATAATTTTAATTTTAATTCGCAATATTTTATTTAGTGTAAATTGTAAAAGGTCGTAGTGTTATATTATTATTACGGTTTGTAAGACATAGACAGAGGACATCTGGCAATCAATTACAGAAACCCATGAGCGATAAATTACACGATCGGAGCGAATCGTTACATAGAAGCAAAAAAAATAAAAAAACCCTTTTTATTTGATCGAAAATTTTTCACGCCCCGCGGGCAATCTTTCGTGTAATTTTCGATATTTTTTATTATATTGCTCCCGAGTGTCGATTTCACGCAAGATATTTTATGTATTGCGATACTGTAACTGGAATAGGTTTTATTTTTTCGTAAACCATAGTCAGTCGAACGGTTTTTTTTTCTTTTTATAAAAGAGTTGAGCGAACAATTTTCGATAGATTTATTTTAATTTTAATTGTTTATTACTTGAAGCCTGAAGCGCAACACTTGTTGCGTGGCAATTGTTCTACATGAAAGGAGAAAGTTTTTTTACCTTTTAGATGATGTACGTTTTACATAATTTATTTATTGTTATAATTGGTATTACGTATTTTTAACATTTCACACGTTCTCAAGCCTATTCCTATTATAAGTCATCTTCATGATATTATTATTATTATTATTATTATTTATATTTGTATTTATATTTTGTTTTAAAATTAACTTCTCAATATTTATAAAGCATTTGGACGTTTTTCCTCTCATATATTTTTTAAATGGTTATTTTGGCAATTATACCTTTTTTATCAAAAAGGTTTTGATGTAAATTTTTTACTTTTCAAGATTTTATATATTTTTTGAGGATAGTTAATTTTTATGTCAAGTTTTTGAAGGAATTTTTAATAGTTTGTTGGTTTTATAAATTTTTTTCGTTAAATTTATTATTGAATAATTGTTATTTTATCCTGTAAAAGCAATATTATTTTTAAAATTTATTTAAGAAGTACCTAAACTATGTATTGTGATGAAAAATATCAAAAAATCATTAAGACTAAATTTTTTTATTCATGATTTATAATTTTTAGTAGTCACAGAGTAACTGCAGATTGCTAATTATAACATTGATAATAAAAACAAAAACAACTCTTAATTTTATTATTATTTTAAATTATTTATATTTAAATTTTATTATACAAATAAAAAGTGTTGAAATTTTGATTTTTAGGCCCTAGTAGAATATACCTATGCGCTTTGCGCTAAAGGCATGCAATAAAAATTTCTTATCCAAATGTAAAATTAAAATCCTATTAAAAAGCACCAATTTTTTATGAAGAAATAAACTCATTTTAAAAAATTTCTCTACCAATTATTAAAAGAAAAAAACCAGAAAAATTTCAAAAATCTTCACTATATTCTTTAATCACCCCAAAAAATAATGAATTCATAACTTTTTCCAAAATCACTAATTTTTACTAGTCCGATAAAATTCCTATTAATAAATTGTTCATCCCAAGACAATTTAAAAAAAAACTCCAACTCTTAGGACAACCAAATCAATATCTCTTTTTTTTCTCTACAAATTCAAAAAATACATTCTTCTATCTAAACGTGTTGATATCTAACAAATTCATTACTCCTTTAATATTTTTAAAAATTTTCAAACATTCAGTGATTTTAAGCATTTTTTTTACATTAGCCATTGCTTATTAATTTTTTACAACATTTGGAAAATTGTCGCTGCTGACTTTTTCGTTGATAATTTTACCTTCTACAATTTTCATTAATAAAAAACATCGTTAACTCAAACAGTTCGTGAGTAACAAGCGGAAAACTGATAAACAACTGCTTTTCAAGACTTAACAAATTTTTTTAGCAACTTTGGGTCATCCTAGAAAGGTCCAAATTTGACAGACAGTGTATTATGCCCATACAAACGTCCCCTAAAATTTGCACCTACGCCTGATAGTTAGTTAGAGGAAATTTGTCGAGTCAAATCGACTTGATTTGACTTGCCTATCTAGGACTAGAATTATTTGAGTTTCTAGTTCTCCTGTTTCACGTCCTACCAGTAAGCTATGGAGCGTCTGTAGGTGAACGGATAAGATCTCTCTTTCTTCTTTCTTGCTTCTCTCTCGAATCTCACTCTTACTTACAACCTTGCCACACACCCAAGCTTATACACACGTACATACAAAACACCTCCTTTTCCTTCTCCAGCTGGATCCTGGGCAGCCACACCGGAGCGCACGATCACGATATAGGATGTTAAGTCCTTACCTCCACTCGATTACCTGTTTACGTTAATACAGCTGGAGTATACCGAGAACAACTCGACTCTAACCTTATTTTCTCTCTCTTTCTTCTTGTCTTCCTTTCTCTCTTTCAGTCCTTCTTCCACTCCCCAGCCAAGTGCTGGAGACCACATACCTCCTTACGATGCAGTGTGCGCCTGTCCATTGCCTCGCTGACACCGGCTTAGCTTTACCCAAATCAAGTTTTAATTTCTTTCTTCTTTTTTTAAGTCAAAAAAACAAGAAATTTGTGATCAATTAATTGTCCGTAAAAATAAATTAAATGGTTTGATAAATTTCACTCACTTAGATGAACTAATCATCAGGATCCAAAGGATTTATTCAGTGAGGATGAGAGTGAGGTGACTGGTGACCTATGACACCACTGGTGGATTTAGTGGTGAGTTTTTCAAGGACGAGAAGATTTTTTTTTATTATAAAAACTTATGCTCAAGTTTTCTTCAAAAATTAAGTTCAAAGTTCAAGCGGGAAGAGAAAGGTTCGGTTGAAGTTGAAGTTAAGATTGAATGAACGATGACATATTTCAAGCATTCCAAGGCTCCGTTCTGTAACGGTACTTTTTTATCCGTGATTAAGACTCTGGGACAGGAGGCCATCGAGTTGTGGCAAGACAGTTAGAACTTGCCGTTAATCATGTCCCGGTGTCTAGTCTCTAGTCTTCCCATCAGATCAAATGAAAACGAGTCTTCTTGATACTTGACACATTATTATTATTATTATTATTGTTGTTGTTGTTGTTAGTGTTATTGATATTGATATTTGTTGGATACTACGTTTGGATGGTATTCTAAATGACAGAAAGGAATTGTTGGGGATGAATGTATATTTGTATAGGCGATGTTTTTGCTACGGACAGTAACCCCGAAAATAAGAGCTATGGAGATTTTAATGACTGCATAAGCCTCTGAGTTAGATTAGAAACTTTGAACTTTACTTTTTAAGATGTTTTAAATTTCTTCAGGAGAGTTTATTTTGGATAGTTGTTATTTCTTCTCTGAAATGTACATTTTCGTACACAGTAAAAAATTTTGCGTCAAAAAATTTTGTGTTAAAAATTTTTATGTTAAATATTTAACACTTTTTTGTATTGATTTAACAGAATAAATGTTAAATTTACACATAAAAGTGTTAAATATTTGACACAAAAATTTTTAACACTGTTTTTTGACGCAAAAACGCAAAATTTTTTACTGTGTAATTGGAAGGGGAATTAAAGAGAGAACTTTATAATAATTGAAGAAAAATGTTGAAGTAAGATGATTATTTTGAAATATTTGATCAACTTTAATTAATCAAGAAGACAAGTACTTGAATCAATAATTTTTTTTTTTTTTTAGTTAAGATTATTATTATTAATTTTTTCCATTTATTCCGAAGATCGGTGATTTCATTAATTGAAGAGTAAAGCAATTCAAAGCCAACTTTTATTATTATTATAATTAATATTATTATTATTATCAACTTTTAATATTATTAAACTAAAAAATTAATTCTAGAAAATTATTTTAAAAAATACCATTTTTAGTTTTTTCTAATTTCTTCATAGAAAATTTTTTTTTTGTCGAAATTAATTGTTAAAAAAATCCTAAAAATGATTAAATATCTTTTAATTTCGTTTTCATTATTAATAAAAACAATTTCACTTGATTTAAATTTTTAAAAAAGATATTCAAACATTTCTTCTTAAATTAATTTTTTCTGTTTAGAAAAAAAACCCTTTTAATTTTTTATTTCTTTAATATTCAACTAAAAATTTTTGAATATAAATTTAAAAAATGCTTTAACAATTTATCCAAAATTTTTTATACCAATTAATTCAAAAATGAAAAACTACATTTAATATTGAAATTTTTCCAAGTATACATATCAAAGTTCATGCTTTCGTGTTAGATATCAAATACGTTTCGCTCTTAACATTATTACTAGTAATTATAATAAGAATAAATAATAACAACAATCACTATTTACTTAATTTTTCCTCCTAGAAAATAATTACAACTTTTAAGTGTAAAATCAGTCATGGTATTTCCTGGTGGATAATTAAATGCACATATAATATATAACATATAACTATAACGCGGAGGGAATAACAAGGAGGCTACCAAACGATAACGGAGTTTTAAAAGTTATTCTTCTGTATATTATATGTGTTAGATTTAGTTATATCACGAAGTATGATACAACGAATTCTCAGTTTTATAACCTCGATTTCTAGAGAGCTCATTTCTTCATTGTTCTGGATAAATAAATGATTATATTCCGATATGATTGTATCTTTTATTGCGTTTCCAGATGGTGATCTTATGTACCGGTTGCGCAACATCCCTTTGCACTTGAGTTGATCCACCATCGATCCGAGATGCGGGATCAGTAGAAAGTATACTAATAAATAAAATAACTTGTAATTGTATAATGAAAAAGTTGACCTGGGAATTTATTATCACTTCACTTTCGCCATGGTCTATGAAGATAACTAAAGTAATGACTCATCTGAATGCGGTACGAGCGCATACCTCGAAAATTACTCATCATTCCTATTCGACAAATTTACCAATGGCTTTTTTTTTTTTAATTTACTTTAACTTCTGTTTTCTCTTCAGAGAATGAAGTTTTGTAGAAAGTTTGCTTAATGCAATTCTGGATGATATTAGGGACGAACTAATGCTTCTGATCCAGAAATGGGTTGATAATTTCTAACGGCTTTTCATATCATGCGATTCCGCGGCCGCGAAACCGGTAGCGCTGAGCTGACCACAAATTTCCTTATTGGCAACTCGCAATCATAGTTATTAATACTTAAGTGTTTGTTTTTGTTTTTTATTTACCTTTTTAGTGCATCCGTTCTAAAAATTAAAAATTATTTATTTCTTTTTTAAAAACTCGCACTTATAATTTTTTTTTTTTTAGTCAATTTTTTTTCATAAAAATTTAATTATTCTAAAGACCTAAAAAATTGTTAGAAAGTTTAAAAAATAAATTTAGTTTTCAAAATTAATATTTAAACTTGAGCAAAAAATAATTTTTTTATTGGATAAAATTTAATTAATTTTTTATTTAAAATTTTAATTATTTATTCAAAAATATATTGCAAAATTTAGTACATACTTAAAATAGTAAAAAGTAACTAAAAAAATTATTGATTAAAATTCTTCAAGAAATGGTGAAATGTAAAGTAACCAATTGAAACTAAAGAATTTTTATAATGATAATAGTTAATATTGCTATATTGGGTAAAAAAGGCTACAAATGGCTAGAAATTAAAAAACTTAAAAACTATATACGTCGAAAATGATGTAGTGAGTTTAAATTAAGTTGAATTTACCAAAAATAGAATTAAACTTTTCCTCTCATAAAATTTCTTTTAGTTTTTTTTATAAATTATTTAGAATTGATTTTCTTCTTATCTAATGCGTGGGTGTGAAATAAACAAATAACTTTCTAAACCATAAATTATTAATACACTTTTTAAAAGTCAACATTAATGAATTATCTTCGATTTAAGGAAGCGATAAAGATAATTGAATTCCGTCACAAAAATTATGAACTTATAGGGGAAATTTTACAGCCATTAAATCGCAACTTGTTATTTTATTACTCTTAACACTTTTCAAGACTAATAATTATATAATATAATAATTAAAAATAATTTTAGGTGATAATGAGGATATTAATATGGCTTGCATTGCTGACCTCTGGGGTGAGAGGTCAAGTGATAAACCGAGCCCCGCATTTCATCCATGGAGGAGACATGTCGCGTCTCGCGGTCTCCGAGGGCACTTTGCCAGGTGTTGCGGTCTACACACTCCAAGGAGAAGACCCAGAAGGCTCAAAACTCCATTACTCGATCAGCGGAGAATATTTCACGGTCAACAGAGATAATGGCGTGGTCACGCTGCGTAAATTTCTAGACCGCGAAGCGCAGGATATCATTGAGGTTATAATTAGTATCACAGGTATGAAGAAACCTTTTACATTTTACAATAAATATATGCTTGTTATAAAATCTTACATATATAAGAAAAATAAGGAACTACTCCAAAAACATCATAATTAATTAATTAAAACCTTTAAAGGGTCGAGACTTTTCTAATGATACAAAATTAATCTAAAGCTATTAATCATCTATTAAAAAAATATTTTTTTGGTTCAAGAAAAAAATTATTGGCTCAAGGAAATCATTAATAAAAAAATCAAGATAAAAAATTCTTGAATTAATTTAAATCAAGAAAAATTTATGTTCAAGAATTTTTCAGTTTGATTCAATATAAAGAAACTCTTCAAAATAATTTTCTTGGTTCAAAAATGCTTCTCAATTTTTTTTTCTAGTATATACACTGACAAAAAATTAAACTTGATTCAAGAAAAAAATTCTTTAAAATTATGTTTTTGGCTGAAAAATTTTTTCTTTGAATCAAGTTAAGTTTTTTTTATTAATGAAGATAATGTAGATAAATAATTAATAATTGATAATAATTTTTAGATGAAGGAGTAGCAGGTTCGGAGCCAAATACAGTTTCTCTACGCCGCGAAATTGCGGTTTTGGATGAAAATGACAACCCCCCGGTCTACCACGGACGACCTTACGCAACGCGGATCCCTGAGAGTGCCAGTGTCGGGAGTTTGCTGCTCCCAGAAGGCACTGTCACGCTGAGCGACCGCGACGGGGGCGTAAACGCAGATGTTGATGTTAGATGCGTGACAGCTTCTACCGACGACGACACTTGTTCAGTCTTCAGCGTCACGACCGAGAAAATAACCGATGGAAAGTATGACGTGAGGATAAGTGTCCTGCAGCCGCTGAATTACGAGCGGAGGAGCTCCTACCTGATAACCCTCCTGGCCACAGACGGAGCCAGCGACCCGGCAAAAAGATTGCATGCCAAAGCGACAGTAGCTGTTGATGTTATTGACGTCCAAGACCAGCCGCCAATTTTCCTGAATGCTCCCTACAGCGCCGCGATTCCGGAAAATACTTCCCCCGGGTACACGGTGATGACCATCAGGGCCCGGGACGGAGATACTGGCCAGTCACGCAGTGTTCTGCTCACTCTAGAGGGTGATGATCTCAATCACTTTGATCTTAAGACTTCTAGGGAGGGAGATATCACTGTGGGGACCCTCGTTACCACGGAAATCCCTCTGGATAGGGAAGAGTCCAGGATTTTGCATGATGGAGGCATCTATACTTTTCGTGTCAGGGCCACGGAGTTGATCAATAATGAAATTCCGGCGGATTCTACGGTTTCTGTGGTGACTATTGTTGTCACGGATGTTGATGATCTCTCCCCGAAATTTAGCGATGATTTTTATAGTATTAAAGTTCTGGAGGATATTGGGTTGGACACGCCTTTGCCAGGTTCGTTTCTTGATGGTCATATTGGAATATTTTTAGGGTGATTCATTTTTAAGCACAGTAATTGATATTTTTTAAAATTTTTCTTATATGGAAAAAGTTTAGAGTATAAATTGATGAACAATTAGATCTAGAATTGATATTTCTTAAAAATGTTTTAAATTCTTTTTATAAAAAGAAAATTGAAACTTTGAATTAAAAAAAATTGAAATTGTAATGAATTTTTGAAATTTTCTTTATAAAGAGAAAATTGAAACGCTAAAATAATAAAAAATTGAATTTTCTTAAAATTTTTCTTATAAGAAAAAAACTTTTGCTCTAATTTTATAAAAAATTAAATTAAAAATTGTAATTTTCCAAATTTACTTCATAAGAAATAAGTTTACTTTGTAAATTGTTAATTAAATTAAATTTCTTCAAATAAAATTGAAACTCTAAGCAGACAAAAAAAATTAATTTAAAATTGAAATTCCTTCAAATTTTCAACTTTACTCAATACCAAAAAAAGTTTACACTATAAATTGATAAAAAATTCCATTTTTACAAACAAGATTTTCAATTAAAACCTCAAATAATCAAAAAAAAAAAACTAAAATTTCTGCAATTATTGTTCTTAAACGTCAAATCTGCTTAACTTCTATCTTACAGGTCTGAACATGGTAGTAAGCGACGACGACGTAGGAGACAACGCCAAATTCCGTCTATCTCTCCGCGACGCTCCAGGCTACCCAGGAATCAGCAGAGCCTTCTTAGTGACCCCAGAGTTTGCTCAAGGTCGCGTCCCAGTAGTAATCAAAGTGCGAGACCCCCAAGTCCTGGACTACGACGTAGAAATCCTGACAAAAAGAGAACTAGAGTTCGACGTGACAGCTTCTGTAGGCGACCGGGTCGCAGCATTCTCCAGAGTCCACATCAGTATCCTGGACGCGAACGACCACGCTCCAGAGTTCACCGAAGCAGTTTACAAGCTTTCAGTCCGCGAGGATTCAAAACCAGGGGTCAAATTCGGTGATATAGTCGCCATAGATTTAGACAGCGGAGCTTACGGCGAACTAACCTACACCCTTCGAGGTTTCGGAGCGGACAAATTCAGAACAGACTCCAAGCAAGGAGGAATCTGGGTGGCCAAGCCTCTGGACTACGAGACCCAGAAGTCCTATTCGCTGACAATGGAAGCTCGGGACGGCGGCGGAAGAGTTTCAACAGTCAACATTCTGATCGAGCTGGACGACGTGAATGACAATCCTCCAATTTTCGAGCAGAAAGAGTACTCCAGAACAGTCCGCGAAGGCGCAACCAGTTTCGAGCCCCAGATGTTTGTTCGCGCAACAGACATTGACGGCCCCGTTCACGGAAACGGCAAGGTGACTTATTCCATAGCTCGGCACAACGGAATGACCGAAGATGTCTTCAAAATCAACGCAGAAACCGGCGAAGTCTTGATGAACTCTCCAGCTAAATCTGGAGACACTGAGCGAGGACTCTACGAGCTGGACATCCGAGCGACTGACCACGGCTACCCTCCTTTGTACTCCGAAGCAAAACTCCTGGTTCGAGTCGGAGTTCCTGGCAATCAACGCCCAGTCTTCAGAGGAAACTTCAAGGGAGGTCCTCCGGGTCCCAACAGCTACCGCGCAAGACTTCTGGAGAACGCAAGCCCCGGGACTGAAGTTATCCGGGTGGTAGCGAATGATCCCGATGGAAGAGACAGCTTGCTTCAATACTACATCGCTTCGGGTGCTAAGGACAATTTTGTCATCGATTCTAGCTCAGGAATCATCACAGTTTCGCCTGACGCGCGCTTGGATCTAGACACTGGAGGAGACAAGTACGAAGTTATAATCTACGCAGTGGATTCCGGGACTCCTGTAAGAGAAACAGCGACTACGACTGTTACAGTGACCATCCTGGATGTCAATAACAAGCCACCGAAGTTTGAAAACTCGACTTACTTGGTCTACGTGTCGGAACGCGCTGCGATAGGCGATTCTGTGCTGAAGGTGACTGCCGCTGATCCTGACACTGATTCCAAGTTGAAGTACTCGATAGTAGAACCCATCAAAGCGGTGGACAAGACTGGGGTCGCCTTGAAAAGCACCTCTCCTTACGATTACAAAAGTGCGTTCAGGATAAACTCAACCAGCGGGTTGATTTCCGTGAACAAAGTCCTGGATTATCAGGTTGCGGCGGTGATTATGCTGACAGTCCAAGTGGAAGATGTTAATGCGATAGTAGACAAGAGCCAGCAGGTAGATAGAACTGAGGTTACTATTTACATCCAAGCTTTCAGCGATGACAATCCAATCTTCCTTAATCCCGGCTGGTCTGCTAATAATCCGGTGATCAGGGTGACTGTCCCAGAAGAGCAGCCTTTGGGAACGACTCTGTTGATGCTGTCAGCGAAGGAACTCAGCGGGCACGCGGTCCAAAGGTTTGAGCTGGTCAGAGACGACCAGGACCAGGACTTCGTTAATGTTGGAGTTCAGAGTGGGAACGTTGTTCTGAGCAAGCGGCTGGATTACGAATCCTTGAGCCAGAAGTTCATTCAGTTCAAAGTTCGGGCCCTTGCGCTGGATTATGACATCACTAGGCGGATGTCCGAGGCGACTGTGATCGTCGAGGTCCAGGATGTTAATGACAATAGCCCGACTTTCACGCAGAAGGACTACAAGATTGCGGTTTTGGAAGACTCTAAGCCAGGAAAGATCATTTTGAACATAAAGGCGGTCGATATGGACAGTTCGAGCACTGAACAGGAAATCAGAAGAGGGTTTGGCGAGGTAAGGTACGCTCTGACCGGAGAAAACGCTAATCTCTTTGAAATAGACCCCATGAGCGGGAACATCCAGATCGCTGAAAACACCAATCTTGATCGCGAAAGACAGTCTGTGCTGAGGTTCTTCGTTATTGCTTCGGACATGCCTCAAGGAGGCGCGGAACAGAAGACTGCTCGGGTCCTGGTGACGGTAGACGTGCTGGATGTCAATGACAACGCTCCCAGTTTCCTACAGCCTTCTTACACGGCAGTGATTCCTGAAAACGCGCCGATGAACGTCAGTATTGTGAACATCACAGCGACTGATCCTGACGAAGGCAAGGGTGGTGAAATTCACTTTGAAATAATCGACGAAGGGGAAGCTAGTGGGTTGCTGAAGATCAACCACAAAACCGGGGAGATTTCCTCCAAGAAGAAGCTAACTGGAAAAGGCAGAACCGAACCTTATATTATGCGCGTTAGAGCTCAAGATTCAGGGCAGCCGGTTTTGCACTCTGATGTATCTCTGACACTCTATATTGGCGATGTAGTCAGCAACGACGGAGTTCCTCTGTTCATCCGTCCTACTTTAGATGAAGTAGCCTACGTTTCAGAGAACTCAACCATCGGAAGTCCAGTTTTCCAGGTTGTAGCTTCTGATCCTGATGATCCAAACCTGCCCAATGGAAAAATAACTTTCAAGTTTCTGGAAGACGGAAACTTCGGCAACGATGCCAGCGCGTTTAGGATTAACGGAGACACTGGACTGATCACCACCAGAAAATTGTTAGATAGAGAAGCTAAGGACAGCTATACCCTTATTCTGATCGCCCAGGACCTGGGAGACCCGCCCCAGCAAGCTTCCAGGGTCTTGCAGGTCATAATCAATGACATTGACGACCACAAGCCTCATTTCAAAAGATCACTGGACAGCCCGCCAGTAGAATTGAGCATCCAGGAAGAAGTTCCAGAAGGAACGGTCATTGGAGTGATCGAAGCTATTGATGAAGACATCGGAGAAAACGGGATTATCGACTACGTGATTATTTACGGGAACGAAGGCAGTCTCTTCGCTATCGAGCGGCTGCCGAATAACTCTGCTGTTATTAAAACAGTCGGTCGCTTGGACAGAGAAACTTCTGCCAAGCACCTGATCACTGTAAAGTGCTTCAAGTACCCAGTTCAGAAGTCCGATGTGGTCCCTAAGCCGTACAATCGGCAAGATCCTTCAGAGAGGCAGGTGCTCATCAGGGTGATGGACGTCGATGACAACAAGCCTAGGTTCAGGAAGGACAACATCACCATAGGTGTCAGGCTAAATGTGCCAATAGACACCAGTCTGATCACTTTGGAAGCCTATGATGAAGACTCAGACGCGCTTCCTATTAACTATACCATGGGTGAAGTGTCTTTTACGTCTCTGGCAGAGCCTTCTATGGTCAAGAGGAAGATCCCTTCCTACTTGGCGCTCAATCCTGCTACTGGGGAACTCAGAACAACTGGATCAATGGCTGGTTTTTCGGACGGATTCATGGAAGTTCCGATCACTGCTAACAATTCTAGAGTTCCTGGGCGAGAAACTAATGTCACGTTGAGAATCTTCCTGCTAAGAGACCGGGATATGCTGAAGTTCGTGTTCTCCAAGCCGCCTGTTGAGGTCAGAAAGACTTTGGAGGAGTTTGAAAAGGCGGTCCAGCAAGCGCTGGCTCTTCCTATCACTGTCAATGTTTATGACACCCAATTCTACTCCAAAGACGATAATAGCCTTGACTTTTCCTCGACGAGCTCCTGCTTCCAGATGGTGGGCAGAGAAGCCTATGATCTTGGAGAAATGAAGGCGCTGCTCAGAGATCCGAAGAATGAGGAGCTGAAGAAGGTTTACGAGAAGTTCCATGTTGAACGGGTTCAGCATTGTGCGGCAACTGTTGCCAGGGCTGATGCTTCTAGGACTCAGATGTGGGTCCTGGCCATTGCGGCCTTGGTTGGGGTCGCTGCTGTTGTTTCCAGCTGCACGCTTTGCTGCATGCATTCTAAGTAAGTTTGATTGGACGGTTGATGATTCTTGGTTGGTGTTAATGGGGTGATTGCTAATCAATTCGTGGCTTTTAGGTATAAAAGGCGAGTCAAGCGGGCCAGAATCAGGGAACAAACTCGCCCGCCATTGAGCTACGTCTCTTCTGGGCCTGGAATGGTCAATGCTCAATCTCACACGACCTTGGGAACCCTGCCGGGTACTATGGTGACGATAGGGCCCCATGAAGGCCCTTATGAGTGGGGTGCTGATACGACTCTATATCATCCTAGCACTTTGTCTAGGTCTTAGGTGTTGTGTAAATTTAATATAAATAGTGGTGCTAATTTATATTTTATTCTTTGAGGTTGGCAATGCCATAAGTCTCTAGAGTTAGGTTTTTGATTAATAACTGAAGTTATTTTTTGATGGTACTGAAATCAGCAGACGTTTAAAAAATTTTTTATTAGTTAAATTAAAACTAAAAAAAGTCTTTTTTTAAACGCGGAATTTTGATTTTTTTTAATAAGAAAAATTTTTAAACATTTGCTAATTTCATTTTCATTATTTTGTGTCATAAATGATAAAATAGATATTAACTTATGTAAATTTTAGAGATTTTTAATTTATTTCAACAATTTTATTATTTTTTTTAACTTTACATTTTTTTTTAAAATTCCGGGTTCGAATCCTGGCTTGATCCGATCTTAACATTTCCCAAAAAAAATTTTTTTTCTAATAAGTTGATATTACTTTTATAAATTTATTTATTTTTTTTTAAATTGAGCCCAAAAAATTATTAATTGAACTTTTAAAATTTACATAAATTGAATTACAATCTAAAGATATATCTTGAATATGTATATTAACTCGATCTATGAATATAATATTAATATTAAGAAATTTTTTACTTCGTGCAAAATATTCTTACTTATAAAAATGATACTTTACTTCTTATAAGTCGACATTTAACGCTCAATTTTATGTGACAGCGTTGCCAAACCCTCGAAGATAGGGACCAAGTCCCACTAAAAACTGTACATTAGAACGTAATTGCGTTTTGTAATATAAATTATAAATTATAGCGTAATACAATGCAAAACTAGTTTTCAAATATAAATAAATTTATATATAAGTATAGTTATAAACATTAATAGAAATATAAAAAGAATGTATATGTATATTTTACAATATTTATATAAAAAGAAGAGATAAAGAAATTCAAACGTCTTGTTCAATTAAAATTAGGATTGATATGCCTTCTATGAAAATGTCAAGGTAAAATTACGAGCGACTAATTTATTTTTTCTCCAACATGATTTACTCTCATCTGTAATATACAAGCGAGTTTATAAAATATAAAATATTTATAAATGAAAAATAATTAACGAATCAGCCGCTTTCCGTGCAAAGATAGAGAGCTGATATTAATAAAAGATTAACATTAACAGTAACAAATAGTGAAATGGTTAACCGCGTTAATTTCATTTTTACAATTACAAATTACAATCATCAGATTAATAACATACTTTCACTTTTAATTGGCCAAGGTCTGATTCATTAAATTATATTTCTTCTTCTTTTGTAGTAAAAATCCATTAGTCCAAAAAGTCTCCAATTATTCAATCGCAACAAGCCCGTCAGCGAATTTCTGACTTTCCGTAGTGGTACTAAAAATACTATTTTTCGGGGTTCCATTTTTAAGATCATCGGGCGCCATTTTGTGATTGTGATTGTGATTGAAGAGGTTATCGGTTTTGTCAGCGGGTTTCTCATTAGGCATTTCTAGAAAGCTCTGTTGATCCCGACTTCTGATCAGCGGAAAATGTTTCGGAGTATCTTCTCCATCACGTTTTAACTCCTCGATGGCTGACTGGTCTGTCAGTTGTTTTGTGATGGTATCGAACGGCGACATGACCTTTTCAATGAACTGCTGCTTGTCTTCGGTAGTCATAGCCTCCGATCTCTGGCGTACGTCATTTCTGAAATACAAAATAAATAAATGAATAAATAAATATCTAAGAAAAATCCACATAAAAAAAATCATCTGTTAGTACTTAAGTCTTCAATATAATAATAATAATAATAATAATAATAATAATAATTATTACTATATTTTTCGGATTGCGTCATATGTAATGTGATGACATTTCGCTGATCATCCGCGGTCATGTTACTACACGGAGGATTACGTTTTCAGTGAAAGTCATTCTGTTTATTCTATTAACGACGCTCTATTAGCGCAAGTCTAACTCAAACCAAAGATAATTAGAGAAACTTTTGTTAATGATGTCTTTTTAAACTAACCCTGAATTTTGCTGTAAGAATAATAAGTAATTGCGAAATATTAATCACCTGTTGAGCTTGGCCTTCTTCCGAGGGTACAAATTTAGGTGGAAGATCATTTGCTTCTTTTCTTCTTCTTCGGAAGTCTGCCCGTTTTGGGTTGCGGCTGGCAAAGCGATCAGGGGGATTGGTTGGGCGCCATTGGAATAGTAGCGATTGGCGCGGCCGAAAATCGGCCTTCTGCTTTCGGAAAATTCTTCGGAAATCGGTCTAGGTCGGGCGATTTTGTTTGACGGCTGGTCGTTTAGGTCTGTGATAGGGTAGATGTCTAACATTACGCTAAAAGGCTTTGGTTTGCGCTTTTTTCCGTAGTTTCCAGCGCTTACGGAATTATCGTAGCTGGATTCTGCAGCTATCGGTCGGTTCAGAGGCCGGTGGTATTGAGTTTCTAGATATGGGTTGTAGCGGTGGACTCCTGTAGGAGAAAATCTGCGAAAATTCAACTCTGATTTAAAAAAAGTATTGGAAATAATGGAATTTTTATTCTTTTTTATACCTCTGAATACTTTTAATACTTTCAAATTTTTTATTTTATGAAGAATTTATATTATTAAACATTTTTAATTTTTTTTCCAACCAAATAAAGTTTTTTATGGTTAGTTATTGATTTATTTAGAAGTTTTTTAGGTATTAAGAAAATTAAATTGAATTGAATAAAATGAATGACAATATTATTGAAAAATTTTAAACTTATAATAATAGAGTAGGGTAAATGCACCATCAGTTGTTGACCGGTCACCAATTAGTTGACCGATGTATAAAAACGTTAATTAATTAATATTTTACAAGGGTTTTTTTTTTCTTAAAGTATTAAAATAAAACAATATGGCATTTAATCATCATAATAAAAAATTACGCAATTAATTGAGCAGTGATTATAGCTTTAAAAAAATATTCTGAGTTTGATTACAACGGAACCAGCCATAAAGCGGTCAAAAATAACTAGCGTACAATTGGAGAGTGAGAGCATTTCATCATTAATTTAGTGATATTTATCGGCATAATATAAAATATTTTAGTTTTATTATGTTAATTAAAGATCAGATTCCAACTTTTTTGAAAAAATAAAGTTAAATTATAAGTTTTAATATTATTTTAAGACCGGTCAACTATTGGATCCGTCAGAAGCCATTTACCCAGTAAAAAATTCATCCGGTCATTTATTAGACCCTCTGATTTTATCACAACCCAATTAATGACCGTATATTTATAATACTAACTTCTAAACCTCAAAATTAAATCTGTCAAGTGTTTAAAGTACTTTAGTCATTAAATATTTTGTAAATATAAAAATAATCATTATAAAATGTATAGGTATTTATAATTAAAATAATACTTAAAATCTTTCTTGATTATTAAATTTTATTTTGTTCTAATTTTTTTAATGAACGGTTATATCAAAGAACGAATCATTAGAAGAAAAAATTGCTAAGCAATTAAAAAAAATAAAAAAGAGTTACAAGCTAATAAAAAAGTATTTCAAAAGTACTGCATAAATTTAATTACATACATGTAGTTTATAAAATTACTTATAATTATTTGAGCGGTCAATTAATTGGAGAACGGTCGGTCATTTATTGGGTTTCTTCGGTCAATAATTGGTGATTTTAGTATTTCAAGATTCAAATAACAAAATTAATATAATTTTGTTAATTTTTATTATAAATAGTTATTAATTATTATTATAATTAAGTATTTAACTTTAATAAAATCCATTACAAATTGTTTTTAGTAGGTTAATAGATTTTTTATAGCTTAGTACAGAAAAAGAAAACCTTAATCGGTCAATAATTGGTGCATTTACCCTATTTAAAAGAAAATTCTTCATGATAAAAATTTGCTGCTATTTAATATTAATTAAAATTTTTTGTATTGATTTTAAGTTACTTGTTAATTTTTTATTAGAATTCATTTCAAAAACAGTGAAGAAAAAATTTTTATAAATAGTAAAAAACTTATGCACAAACCTAACATTAGCAGGCGCTAAAAGATTAACATCTCCCGGAAATTTTGGTTTATAAGGATAAAACGGGTCATGTCCTCCCGAAAATTGAACAGTTTCATCCTCAGATTCTTCATACTCATCAGACTCACTGGCCATTTCCGAGCGATCGCTGTTAGAAACTAAACTTCCCATCTCAGGAAAGTTATGTTTTTTCGGGTTCATATAAACTCCGCTGAACTTAATCCCGTGTTTCGTAGTAGCAGGGTCGTTTGTCAGGTACTTTATGATCTCTTGGATATTTCTTGAAGGATGTGGGTACCGATACTGCGTCAGTTGCGGAAATTTTATTCGTCTGAACGATGCAGGCTGGGGAGTTTTTAATTCAAAGTGGAATGGCATAGGTTTGGATTCGTGCGGCTCCACTTGGGCTACTGGTTCCGGATGGAACCTATTATAATTTTATAAATAAGTAATTATCATCTTCAATTAAAAAATAATAAAAAATTACACGGAAATTTTATATTAAATTTACAAAAAAAAAAAAAATTGTTTAATTTACAAAAGGGGAATGAATTTTTTCATGTAAATTTGATATTCTTCTTACTTGCCAAATTTATATTTTATTTCCATGTAAATTCATCATTTTTTTATGATAAATTTTTATTTTTTCCACGTAAATTAAAAATTTTCTCTACATGTTAAATTTACATTTTTTGCAATCTAAAATTAAAATTTTTTTCAATTTAATATTAATATTTTCAAGTCGACAGTTTTTAAAATATAAAAATAACATTTTTAAACAAAAAATTTGAGAATTATATTTTAACGGAAGTAAAATTATAAATTCAATAAAATTTTCAGTAATTTTTTCCGAACATAATTTAATTACATTGACATTAAACTTACATTTGCCTGACGCGATAAACAACCGCGTGATTGTTAACAACCTCTTTACTTTCAATTTTTTCTTCGACATTGTCTTCCGAGTCCATCATCCTCTTCCTTAGTTTATAATTCTCCAAATTTTGACTCCTCACTTCCGGAAGATCGAGGTCGATACTTCCGCTCCTTCCGCTCGCATCAACATAAGAAATATTTCCATTAAAATCGGACCGATCTTGTAATTCTGCGGTCGATTTTTCTGCATCATGTTGCGCGGGCTTTTTCAAGTAATTCGGTTTCTTCAGAGGATTTTGGAGGATGTAGACATGTTTGGTCTCCTGGCTGACTTTGCTACTTGCGACTGCTCCAGATGCGAAATCATAGATGAAGATGGCTGCCTAATAAATTAATAGCAAAATTTCCAAAGTTTAAATCGAAAGTTTCAAACAAAGACTGAGATTAAAATAATTAGCATTAATTTTTAATGAATTAAATTTAATCTTGTATAGAGATAAGCAGTAAGGTGTGTGTTTGTGTTGTTTAATTTAATTTCACATGGAATTATAGTGTCCAATGTGTGTCAAAGCACTGTTAACGCCCTATATGTGAAGCATGCAGAAATCTTCTTTTAAGATAAGGACTATTGTTATTATCATTACATTGTTGTAAGTATCTTCAAGCCATTCCGATCCGCGTCATGCTCTAGGGTGTTAAGAGAAAATTTTTATATCGCATAATCATTTTAATTAACGGGGATTTTATTACTTTAAAATAATTAGCTCGATCTAAAAGTTTGAGAAGAATTTTTGATATTTTTTAGGTTTTATTAATTTGAATTTTTGATAATAAAAATTATGACATTTTTTTTTGTAAAAATTTTTATTGTTTTATTTATTTATTTATTTTTTTCAATGAAGTGAATCAATATTAAAAATTTATAAATAATAAATATAAAGCAACTAAATTTAATTGTAAAAATTTCTTCATTTAATTTGTCCAAAAAAATTTTGAAAGTCTCGTAGATGTTGAAAGTAGGTTCAAATATCATTTGGTTTAGAAAACGATCCATGAGAAGAAGCAATTAAAGAATTTCATAGCATTTAATTCCAATAATTCGAAGTTAATTTCTAACAATTACTATTCTCATTTTATTTTTATTATTTTTTAATTGGGATAGTTATTAAAACTGCAATATATTAGAATTGAATTATATTTTACATTCCTTTTATTTTAATCTATGTAAAAAAATTTCACTATAATAAATTTTATTCTAAGAAAATACGACATAAAAATTAATTTATTACAAAAAAAATTAAAAAAAAAAAGTAATTTTTTTTTTTATGATCGATATTAGAAATATTTTTATTTTTTTTAATACAAAAATTAATAAAAATAAATTGTCAAAAAATTTATAGAGATTATTACAATAATAATAAATATAAATTTTTTTTTGAGTTCAACTTTGTCATGATTATTACAAAAAACATTTTTAATGAAATTAAAAAGCTTTTTTTTTTAATTACAAAATTTAAATATTGTTTTAAAAATAAAATAAAACATTTTTTTGCAGGAATTTTAAAAATAAAAAATTCTAAATCAAAATCAAAAACTTTTACAATTTACTATAAAAAATTATATTAAAAAAAAAAAAAAATTATTTATTATGAATATTAAATATGTATGACTTAACGATTACATTATTATAAGTATAACAATTTCTTTTCCGCATGACTACGATAATTTAAGTACTAAGTAACAAGTAGCGTAACAGCAAACAGAAAACGTAATATCACCGCTAACATCTTTTAAAAATAAATCGATGGATAATTACCAGTATTACCGCAACGACGGCCATAATCCCAATTACAACTTTCCTGACAACAGGTCCGTACTTATTGTTATCGTAATAATCCGATCTGTCTGAGTAGAGTCCAAGCTCCGAGCTACTGATTGCCGATCTGCGACCAGTTTCAAACATTATTTCCAACCTGTTACTCACAAGTCATCGCGATTTTTCACATTAAAAATCATTTACAATTATCGATAAATTAATTAATTGATAGAAACTTGATACTTGTTATAATAATTATGAAGATCTCGAGACAAGAAGATTAACACTGAGAAAAGACAAGAGGATCCTAACTTGAGGATGATTTTCACCGGAGACGAGAGAAAACACTAAATTGTGGGGGTGGAGGTTTGGTAGGGGAGATTTTATGAATGTGTGAGCTACTTACCTAATGACTAAATTCTAAATACCTTATATTAAATTTACTTGTGTAAGGTGTGAGGATAATAATGAATAATGAGACTGAGACTGACAATTATTCTTAATTGCATCTTACATATATGTAATTATTAAAAAAAAAATAATAATAAACAGTTTATTGAATTTAAAAAAAAAAGTTTTATTTTCTTTAAGCAATTACACTTACTTAATTGGATATTTTTACATTTATAATCAGTAATCAGTATAAAAAGTACAACGTTTAGTACAAAGTAAAAAAATTCAGACAATCTGGTGGTATCTTGATGATTATGTGCATATGACAAAAATAGTGAATTATATCTCTGTTTAATTAATCTCTTTACTCTAACTTAAAATTTTATTAATTAATTAATATTTATTTAGTTATTTTTAAGTGTTAATTTTTAGTTCTTAGCTCTTATACATAATAAGGCAGCATCCGTAATTAATTGATAATTAATTAATTAATTAATTCATTTTTATGATAGCCACAAAAGACATTTTACAATTGTATTTTTATTCCTTTTGATGATAAAATTAAATTAACTACACGAAGAATTATTAAAAACTTTAAGACACTTTTTACAAAATGAAATTACGAAGAGAAAAATTATAATTATTTTTTTAAAAGTTCATTAAAGTTTTCAATTATTCTTATGTATTTTCCGATAAAAATCAGCGTTGGCAATTTTTCTACTTCTCTTTACAAGAAATAAATAATTGATAATTGAACAATCGGTAAGATCGAGATCTACCGTACCATTGTTTTTTTCAAAATGTCTTCCATGCATCCTCGTACCTTTTAGCGCTTACGGAACTCGAAGGGAATGTCAGGAATGGGGTAGTTGTATCCCGAGGGCTTGGAGGTTGGAGGAGGTAAAGTTGGAGGTGAGTAAGGTTTGCCAGTCACGGGTCTGTAGGTTACAGTGTTAAAGGTTGAACTGTAGACTACGGTTGGGAATGGAGGAGCGGTAAAGGTTGAGTAAGTTGGTCTTTGAGTTGAAGGAGGTAAGTATGGCGGTGGTCTCACACTTGGAGGTATAGGAGGAGGAGTGGGTCTGGTTTGAGTAAATGGAGGTGGAGTTGGTCTGGTTTGAGTAAATGGAGGTGGAGTTGGTCTGGTTTGGGTAAATGGAGGTGGAGTTGGTCTAGTTTGGGTAAATGGAGGAGGAGTGGGTCTGGTTTGGGTAAATGGAGGAGGAGTTGGTCTAGTTTGGGTAAATGGAGGAGGAGTGGGTCTGGTTTGGGTAAATGGAGGAGGAGTTGGTCTGGTTTGGGTAAATGGAGGAGGAGTGGGTCTAGTTTGGGTAAATGGAGGAGGAGTGGGTCTAGTTTCGGTAACTGGTGGCAAGTATTCAGCTGGAGTCGTAGATATGCTAAACGGCCTTGGAGTTGTAGTAGTCGTTGGTGGTGGTTGATACCTAGTAGTCCTTCTGGTTGTTGTAGTTGGAGGTGGTGTGTACCTCGTTGTCGAAGGAGTTGGAGGTGGCGTGTATCTCGTAGTTTTAACTGATGGAGGAAGATACACTCCAGGAGTCGTCGATGAAGGAATGTATGGAATCCTGGTGGTGGTGGTGGTGGTGGTGGTTCTTGGAGTTATTGGAGGGACATATCTGGTGGTTGTTGTTGGTGGAGGCCGGTACTCTGTAGTTCTAATGGTTGTTGTCGTTGGAGGAGGAGTGTATCTGGTTGTTGGAGGGGTTGATGGTGGTTGGTACCTGGTTGTTTTAGGAGCAGTAACTGGAGGTAGGTACTCGGGGCCATTAGTTGTTGGTCTTGGAGTCGAGAAAGTAACTCTAGGAGAAGTTACTGGGTATGGCGTTGTTCGAGTTACGATATTGTTGGGAGATGTTTGAATTGGCCTTTGAGTTGTTGTTGGTGGCCTAGTTATCGGCCTCTGAGTTGTAGTAGTTGGTGGTCTAGTTATTGGTCTCCGAGTAGTAGTAGTTGGTGGCCTAGTAATTGGCCTTTGAGTTGTTGTTGTTGGTGGTCTAGTTATTGGCCTCTGGGTGGTTGTTGTTGGAGGTCTAGTTATTGGTCGTTGAGTTGTTGTAGTTGGTTCTCTGCTAACTGGGGGAAGGTAATCCGGAGCATTTGTAGATGGTGGCCGACTTGGCGGGGATGGTCTAGAATTAAGATTATTGTTAATGTCAAAGAAGATTCTAGAGTAATAAATTAATATTGACACTTACCTTCTTGGAGGTTGAGGTTCTGGAGGGTTGTATGGAGGCCTTGTTGGTGGCTGAGGTTGTGGTGGGTTGTACGGTGGCCTTGCTGTTGGTGGTGGTTGTGGTGGATTGTATGGAGGCCTTGTTGGTGGTTGAGGTTGTGGTGGATTGTATGGAGGCCTTGTTGGTGGTTGAGGTTGTGGTGGATTGTATGGAGGCCTTGTTGGTGGTTGAGGTTGTGGTGGATTGTATGGAGGCCTTGTTGGTGGTTGCGGTTGCGGTGGGTTGTACGGTGGCCTTGTTGGTGGTTGAGGTTGTGATGGATTGTATGGTGGTCTTGTTGGTGGTTGTGGTTGTGGTGGGTTGTACGGTGGCCTTGTTGGTGGTTGAGGTTGTGGTGGATTGTATGGAGGCCTAAAAAGTCATCGATAAGTTTTAAAATTTCAAACAAAAAATGCAATAAAATGAAAAACTTACCTTGTTGGTGGCCTGGAAGTAACCCTATCAGGGTTTGAAGGGAATGGCACCTTTGGAGTTGGATAAGTGTAGCTATCTTCTGGCGTTGTTCTTGGAGTTGTTCTTCTGGTAAACTCAAACGGTGGTGGCGTTATATCGAGAGGCGTTGTTGGTCTTTGAGTGCTTGGTGGCCTTCTTGTTGTTTGAGGAGTAAATTCCTTATCCGGAACCGGGTAAGTATATGACGGCGGTTGGGGTTGTCTAAAAAAAAACATCTTTATTGTACTTTTGCTATCATATTATTAGATCGCTTGAAGTTTGTGGGAGTAAAAATACTTACGGTTGTTTTACTGGAGGCTGTGGTGGTGGAGGAGGTGGTCTTCTTGGAGGTTGAGGTGGTGATGGTGGTCTTACTGGAGGTTGAGGTGGTGATGGTGGTCTCACTGGAGGCTGTGGTGGTGAAGGAGGTGGTCTTCTTGGAGGTTGAGATGTTGGCCTTGGTTCAGATGGGAAGGGAACACTAGGAGTTGGATAGGTGTATTCTGGAGGAGGTCTAGAGGTTGAAGGTGGTCTTACTGGAGGCTGTGGTGGGGGAGGAGGTGGTCTTCTTGGAGGTTGAGGTGGTGATGGTGGTCTCACTGGAGGTTGTGGTGGTCGAGGAGGTGGTCTTCTTGGAGGTTGAGTTGGTCTTGGTGCAGGTGGGAAGGGAACACTAGGAGTTGGATAAGTGTATTCTGGAGGAGGTCTAGAAGTTGGAGGTGGTTGTCTAACTGGAGGCTGGGGTGGAGGAGGTGGTCTCACTGGAGGCTGAGGTGGAGGAGGTGGTCTTCTTGGAGGTTGGGGTGGTGGAGGAGGCGGTGGTCGTTTAACTGGAGGTTCTGGTGGAGGGGGGAAAGGAATTCCAGGAGTTGGATAACTATATCCTGTTGTTGGCTGTTTCGTTGTTACAGGAGGCGGAGGTCTCGTTGTTGGAGGTGGTGGTCTCGTTGTGATTGGAGGTGGAGGTCTTGTTGTTCGAGGTGGGGGCCTAGTTGTGATAGGAGGTGGTGGTCTCGTTATTGGTCTTTCAGTTGTTTTTGTCTCCTCAAAAGTTATTCCTGGAGTAGGATAAGTGTACTCTGGAGGAGGCCGTGATGTTGTTGGCCTAGTTGGTGGATTTGTTACTGGCGGCCTAGTTACAGGCGGTCTTGTTACCGGTGGATATGTTACCGGCGGCCTTGGTGCCGGCGTAGTCGTTCTCCTTGAAAATGAAAATTTAAAAATGAAAACTGGATCTAAATTTAAAAATAAGTGTAGATAAAATAAAATACTTACGCAGGTGGAAAAGTGAGAGGATTTTTAGGCTTATCATAGAAATATCCGTTACTCTCCTGACTTGGGTAACTATCAATTGCCCGCTTGCTTTTAGCGTCTACATGGCACGTGGAAATAACCGCCACTACCGTGGTGGCCCACAAGAGCTTCCACTGTAAACAAAATTGTAATTGTAATAACAGAAATAGTAATTACTATTATTTAACACTAATTAGCAAATCTAATGATAATCAGCAACTATTAATTAATTTCTTTTTTCTTCTCATTTTATCCGCTAATAGAAAGTTATTGAAATAACGCGCATCTTTGCACTAAATACTAATATTACGCAATTACGGTGAGTATTCTCGTTGGCTCGTGGGATAGTCTCACGCCTCTCCTTCAATGGTAATTCATACATACATCCATACATATTTATATATATATATATATATATATATATATATATATATATATATATATATATACAAGGCCTTACATAAGAATATCCCAACTACTACAAGACGACATCGAATTAACCAAGTGCGGTATGATCGTGAAAGGTTTTTGTCCGCGATCTATTGGACTCTTCTGATTCTTTATTTAATTATTTATTTTTATCGCCAATTTTTACTGATTAAATTTCTCCAAATTAAACTCGAGTTTCGTCAACCGGTTGATGAAATTAAAAAAAAAATTAAATTATAGGACTTTTGCAGCATGACCCGCACTTGGCGCCCAATAACCTTTAGCGTAATTTATATAGAAGATAGAGTACGGCAAAGGACTAGCACGAGTGTTTTATAAGTTATAACTAAGAAAGATTCTAGTCACTATTCGTGAGCACGATCTTCGAAAGGTCATTGCAACTTTATATATTTGTATTCATAGTTATGGTTTAGAGGTAAAATAAAAGAATGGAACTCGTGGACCAGAAGCCACCGACTGACTCACCGCTTATTAACAGCCTTGTTCATTCACTTATTTTTAGATGATTTATCAAGTTTAATTTATTGTTGCGGGTGTTTAGAATACAATGAAACTCATCTTAAGTTACTTGGCCCATAACCTATTTGAAGTTAAGTTTTTTAAAGACTGAAGTTTGTTGTTATTATTGTTAATTTATTTTAATTCAAAGGTTAAATAATGGGATTGATATTTAATGTCAAGTTTTTGAAATTTAAATTAGTTTGGGGATGATTTTTATTTAATAAAAATTATTACTTTAGATTTAAACTTTTTTTAACAAAAATTTTAATTTGAAGAATTTTTTTTAATTAAAATTTTAACAAGTAATTTTTAATTTAAAAAAATTTAATATTTATCTTATTTATATTTAAGGATGATTTACGTTTTAAAATTATTTTTTTTTTAATAAAATTTTATTTTTTTTTTTAATAATAATTTAATTATATTAGTAAAGGTTCAGGTTAATACAGATCTATTATTTATTCCTGTGTTAATTTATTTTATCCAATTCAGCAACGTTTCGTTACGTATCGTAACTTCCTCAGGCTTCTTGAAATAAGACGCTGTAGACACATGGGTGACTGACACTTTGACTCATATGTTGATTTCGGTTAATTTATGAATATTTTATATATTGTTTTATAATAAGAAATTGAGTCATACTAATTAAGTGATTAATAATTATTATCTATACAAATAATAATTATATAAGTATATATGTCATGTTAAATAATTGCTTTTATAAGATAAGCCGAATGGCTAACCTAGCCAAAAGTAATGCTACATTTATTATTATATTGACAGTTGTGTTAAATAATTAACTTATTTCAAGAAGCCTGAGGAAGTTACGATACGTAACGAAACGTTGCTGAATTGGATAAAATAAATTAACACAAGAATAAATAATAGATCTGTATTAACGTGAACCTTTACTAATATAATTTTCTGGGATCTGATTATTTGGATAATATAATAATTTAATGTAAAATTTAAAAATAATTATATTAAATAATTTCTTAAAGATTTTTTTCAAAAATGATAATAAATATAAAATTTTTTGAGTAAAAAAATAATAGCTAAATTTATTATACAAAATTAAGAGACCCGGGTTTGATTCCCCAACAATTTTTCTAGTTTTTTTTTTTTTTTTATTTAAATACTTCAATTAAATCAATTGTTGATCAATTAATATCAAAAGATATTTAAAGGATAAAATGTAAAAAAAAAAAATCGGTAATAATTATTGTCGTACCCATTTTCACGCGATAATTTTTAACCACGACAGAGAAAGTTATATTATTATTATGAACGAGTTGCTGCACATCCTCAGTACAGAACGATAATGGATGACCAATATACGAGATGGCCTTTATAAAGAACCCACCGTGGGCCAATAAGCGCTTATTCTTACCGTTTACGTATAAATGGTCATCTTGCGTCATCAAATGTCAAAGTTGGTTTATCGTTACTTAATATATATAATTTACCACAAATACATTTTTCAATCCTGCTACCAACAGTTTGAGTTTAAGTTAATTATTAATATTTTTTCGAATGGGAATAAGTACACATAGCGATCTCTTCAAAGAACTTCAAAGAGAAAGTAGCTCACCCTTTTATTTGGAAAGTTATCTTATCGTTGCAACATTTAACATTGTCCGGGGAAAATTCACGGAATTACTATAACCATCGTAAACTTGTCGTAATTACTCAAGTACAATAAACGGTATTGCTATTCCGATTTAAATTTCAATGGCTTTTTGTTTCATTCAATATCTAACTTACTATAACGACCAACAATAATACTACAATCATTTTTATATTTAAAAAAAAATAATTATTTACAAATAAAAGAATATTTTATTTATTAAAATTTCTAATGTTTAATTTCCAATTCAAAATTTTGAGTCAAATTTGAAGATAAAAAAAATTATATCAGACCTTTTTTATAAAAAAATTTTATTTTCTACAAAAAAGTCTCTATCAATTTTGTCCTATCTTTTGTTTTTTTCTTAAAACTCAAATTTAAAGTCCAAAATTAAAGTTATTAAATTTAACAGAAGACTTCAAAAGTTTAAAGTACTGTTTTTGGCTAAAATATCAAAAATATGAAAAAATTAGAATATTTTTTGTAGAAGATCAAATTCTCTACAAAAAAATTTCCTATTAATTTTTCCTATCATATCTTCAATTTTCAAGCAAGAATTTTGAAAATAAAGACTTGAACTTTAATTATTTTCCATAGCTCCCTTTTGAATTTATTATTATTATAAATTTTCTAAATATGCTTTTACCGCTCATATGATATGACCGCTAAGCATACATAAACTATCCATACTGTTTTTAATTTCTGAAGTTCACACAAACTGATTCATCCCCATGCCATTCCATTCAGTCCTAGTCTATAATTACAAGGATAAGGATTAGATCGTGACTTAGAAGCGTATATCGTATGCATGGTATAAAGTAATAAATTGTTATATTATAAGTTATAAGATTCACCACATGATCACAGCTTTTATCTCACTCCTATCTTTTTATTTTATCGAAAGGTTAGTGATGACGATGACGGGTGAAATACGATGACGATGTGTGACGGTTACATGAAAAAAGTTTTCTGATAATAATTAGCCGTGCCATGATATTAAGATTTTATTTTATTTTATTTTATTTATTGGCTACATTGAAACCTTCACCTTTCGGAAGCGCGGCTTTCAATCACTTAAGGGGTCGCGTCTTTTAGATTTTTAGAAATTTTATTTTTTTATCGATATAAATATTAAGTATTTTTCGTCTTCAATAAATTTTATTTCAGGATTAACATTTCAATTGGTGATTTATGTAAATAATCAACAGTGAAATGTTCCATGTTTATATCGAAATTTTTTTTAAATATTCTTCATTTTTCGTATTACAATTAAATAATTTATTATTTATTAATTTTCAGAATTTTTAATTTTGAATTAATTTACACATTCATTAAATTTTACGTCATTCTCTGTAAAATTTAAATAATGAAATGTGTGTTATGCAAACTTGAAGATTAATCCATAATAGGTAATTATAATTATAATTACTATTAGGCTTAATTGTAAAAGAGAAAGATACCTTTTAAAAGTCTTAAGTTAAAAAAATAGTTAAAGTAAATTTTGAAAATAAATCAAATTTTTATTTTTATTTTAAAAGATCATTATTAAAAATTTTTTTTAAAGAAATATATATTTATTATTTTGTTCCAATTAAAATTTTATTTTGAATAAAAATATTGTATAAATAATTTTTTTAATTAAAAAAATTCAATTTTATTAATTTTTTTTTTTTAATATATTGAAATAAATTTTAGAAAATTTTTTTATTTTTATGTAATAAAAGTAACATTTAATTTGGTAAAAAGTGACTATAATTATTTATAAAATTGAGAAAAAAAAACTTATAATATCCTCAAATTACGTTTGATTAAAAAAAAACTTTCTACGTGGACTATGACCCCAAGCACATACGATTTATCCTGGAGCCTAAATAACCAATCTCAAAAAATGAAAACCCTCTGGGAGCAAAAGAATAATGTCACGTTACGTAACGAGGATCAATAATCAGAAACATGTTCTAAGTCGTTAGGCAACCTGGAATCTTTGCTTCAAATCTCGTGCGAACCAATGGCTTGTCGACTAAAAAATGTTACTTATTTACAGTCCTATAAATTAAACCCCCAATTGATAAATACAAAGTAATGTTGTACGTTTTATATTACGCAATCGATTACCATAAAATTAACTGAAACCTCGAATCTGAAATATTTACATAATGATGGAAAGTTATGGAGATTCACATTCTGATTCCAGATTGACCTTGCCGATCGGTACCGAAATATTTTTCGGTTTTATTTTTATTAGCTCCGGGTATGAGTCAGAAAAATACTTTAGGGCGATAACTAATAGAGTTTTTGGTATGCTATGTGAAGAATAAATAATTTAATTAGCGATTTAAAAAATAATCACTAATAGAAGATTTTTATTTTTATTATTTCTAATAATTTTATGATTTTTTTAGTCTTAAAAAATTTTTGCTTCCTTAAAATTGTCTTGAATAAAAATAAAATTAATAATCAATAAAAACTTATGAATGAAATTGTCTTTCTTTTTTTTTTTGCTCTTAAAAATTTTGCTCTAAAATTTAATCAAATGTTATTTCTATTTTATAAAATTCTATTCTTTAAAATTTCATTAAATTTTTTAAATAATTGTAAATTACTCTATTGAAAAAAACTATAAATATTTTTCATATCTTAACTTTTGAATAAATCTTTTGTAATAATTTTGTACCAAGTTTTAGAATTAAAATTGTTACACTGATAAAAAATAAAACGTAATGCCCGAAAAACAAAAATTTCAAATCAAAATCAATATTTTGAAGAATTTTTTTGTTTTGAATCAAGAAAAATAATTTATTCAATAACTTTTTTTCTAATTCATGATAAAAAAATTCTTCTAAGTAATTTTTTTAGTTTAAAAATTTTTCGTCTGAATTTAGTTAATTTTTTTTTTTTATTAATCTAAATATTACATTAATTCAAAATATTTTATGTAATGAAAATCAATCAATTTTTTATAATTAAAATGTGAGCTTTAAAATTTTTTTCCAATTTTTAAAAAATAATAATTCACTAGAAAAAAATTTTTAAAAAATAAGAAAAGTAATATAATAAAACTAATGATTAGTTATAAATGTTACAACAGCAATCCGTCACTGCGTTTATTCATATAAAATGCATTCACTATGGGCATTCCGAAGACATCAATAAGAAATAATCCCGTGAGTATTTTTGCAATCTGTAACCTTTTATACAATCAGAGTCTTTCATTAATCGAAAGGTTCATGGCAGAAAAATCACAATTTCCACAAGTAAAACAGAAAACATAAACATTATTCAATAAACCACTGCACATTTTTGATAATTGCACCACTTACCATCTTAAAAAGGGCGCGATCCAGCGATTAAACAAACATTAATAAGTGTAAAAAAAAGTCCCGAATGCGGGAGCACGCGTCCCGGGAATAGACTTCTTCAAAACGGTTATCGAGAAGCATTTATAGGATTCTCCGGCTCCCGAGTGGGGGACGGCAAACGGTCCAGTGATTACAGGTGTGTGGAAGATGCTGTAACTTTTTCTTCTCGTCTCTCATCTTGGCCTCCCAAGTGGGGACGATTCTCCCCGGTTTTGACCCAGGGCCGCGCTGTTTGCGACAGGATTTTTTGCCGAAATAATTATTCCCCTCGGTGTAGTGGGCTTTAATTGCTCTAAGTTATTTATTATTTTTTAGGATTGTATATTTTAATAATTCTCTTGTTAATAACCGGATTTCTTTGGGGATTTTCGTCCATCAAAATTCACCAGACATTTGATTTTTTATACTAAAAAAATCTTTGATACTTTACATTTATAATTAAAAGTAAATAAAAATCAATTCATTCATTTTTAAAAAAGTATTTTTATTTTTTTTTCTCGAATAATAATTTGAAGAAAGGAATCTTGATCAGGATGACAGTTTCTGAACTTAAAGCTTTAATTCTGGACGAACTATTAGGTACAAAAAAATTATTTGTAGAAAATTTAACTCTCAACAAATTAACTCATCAATTTTTAAATATCTCTAATTCTTTAGCCAGAACTGAACAAAGTCTGAAGAATACTTTTTTTAAAGCAATCTAATAAAAAATTAATTCGTCAAAGTTTAAATCAAAATTCTGCACAGTAAAAAATTTTGCGTTAAAAATTTTTATGTTAAATATTTGACACTTTTTTGTGCTGATTTAACAGAATAAATATTAAATTTACACATAAAAGTGTTAAATATTTAACAGAAAAATTGTTAACACTAAGTTTTTTGACGCAAAATTTTTTACTGTATGGGTTAAATATTGACGATACGAAAAAATTATAAGAATATTTTTTTTTGTAGGGAATTAAATTTTCTTTATCAAAGATCCTCATCGCTTTTTTGCTATCTCTTATTCTTTAGTCAGAATAATTGAAATTGAATCAATAAAAATTTTGCTTATCGATCAACACCATTTTAATAACCGCCATATTGCCTCACAAGTATGTTGATACTAAAAAACTGCTACCTTAACCTCTATTGAAGTAGCCCGAGGTGTCGGTTTTTGAATAAACAAGGATAATGTCAAGTTTTGAGGTTAAGTTCGCAGACGATACTAATGATCGTAAAAAGAACATTAAAATTATAAAAAAAAAAGGCCATTCGGCAGCCGAAATGGAAGTAGATTTGATGATGAATAAAATTAAAAACTACTAGGATTAAAAACAAAAAAAAATAACGTTTAATGAAGAAAGAGAAGAATTATTGTACTTCAGTACTTTTCAGTCAGTTTTGTATAGACAAAACGACTGCAAGAGTAAAATTTCTTAAAAATGATCCTAAGATGAATTTTTTTTTGCTTCAAAAAAAAATTTGAGCACAAAAATTGTAGCTTAAATTCTCAGCTTTCAAATGCATTTTACAGAAATTGAATAACTCGACGCGTTCAAAAGTTATTTGAAGGAAAAGTAGTGGAAGTATCAAATTTTTAAAATTTCAAAATTTTGAACTGGTGTAATTTCTAAACTATATGACCGATTAAGCTCATATTTGAACTTGACCTTCCTAATAGTCGATAGAATAAGTATGTTGAGTTTCATTAAGATCCCTTAAGAATTATTGACGCTATCGTCGTGACAAGCAGGCATATCGTATAATTACTAATTATTAGAGTTTATAGCAAAATTTATGGAAATTTACGTCTTGAGGACAAATACAATAGTTAGATTTCTATAAAATCTACTAAAAATCGAGGCATAATTTGGCGGAGTAATAATTTTGATAAGCATCGTCCGATTTCGACACTACTTGTGATGACCTTTAAATTGCGCAAAACATCTTAAAAATGATTTAGTATTTAAGTATTAGAATTATTGTTACGGAATCAGGCATTAGATTGTTATGGCCTAGAGGCTGATGAATTAAAAAAAAATAAAATTTATTATCGTAATATTATAAACCTATTACTGTCGCAAGCGGAAGTGAAATGGAGAGTTGCCGATCTAATCATCATGGAGGTTCGATTTTTGGAGATGACCAAGGTCGCCTCTCACTGAGCGCAATAAAGGTCGGTCAGTTGGGTCGAATCTTAATTTTCTTTAGAATTTCAGCCGGTTAATTATTTATGATTTGGAGATTTAATATGTAATGTAATGTGATGTGATGGTAAGGCAGACGGCATTGAACGTCTTCGTTTTTCTTTATGTTATTCGAATGCATTTAAATATATTTAATTATTTATATTTTTATTGAGAAACTATAAAATACAAAATAAAATACTTTTTAAAATTTGTTATTTTTATTTTGTAAAATAAAATTAAGTAAACAGTAATTAAATAACACTGTAATTGTGCTGTTGACCTTTATTTTAACGTTTCTGTATTATGTCATTTGATCATTTAATAAAAATTTTATTTGTGAGTAAGAGTGACATGGTAAATATTTAAAAAAAAAGTTTATGCAATAGATTTATTTTTAAAAAGTCACTGATTATTTTATTTTATTTTTTTTTTTTGTAATAGAAAATAAAATTTAGTTTTAATAGACAGATTAAGTTCCTCAAATATTTCTAGCAGTTTTTTATGATAAATATTTATATTTATGGCCAGATATAATCACCGGTGAAAGCTTCAAATATTCATCTTCATATTAGCTTCTTCTTCTTGGTAATAATAATATCTTTAGATAATAATACTTGTGTGTATTTGCCGAGTTTTATGTGTATAAGGTTACACAATATCGTAAAATGCGCCCGATTAACAATCGCATCTTCGATATTCACAAGTTAATTTGCAGGAAAGATAAATATCATCATCTTCATCGTTGTAATAAGTCTTGATAAAAATTTAATTGTTGACAAAGAAGTGAGATTTCTAAATGATAATTAACGATCTCGAATTATCGTGATTAAGTTTTTAGCGCGATTATTTCACCGGCAAAAATAATTAAATTTATTTGGTGTCGTGATTTGTGATAATGGCAGTAAATCTTTCATGATTATTAACTATACAGTTTATTTTTTAATTGATTTTTCAGTGTTAAAAAATTTATTATGGTTTTTAAAATTGTTTTGTATAAAAATAAAATTGATAAAAAATTTTAATTAATTAAATTTCGATTATTAAAATAAAAATTTAGACTTTAAAAATTTTTCTTTGATGGAAAAACTATTTAAAAATTCTGCAAAAAAATATTTGTCATGCAATTATTTAAATAGATGGCGCTAAGCGCTATTCTGTAGGAAACGTCATCATGTAGTATATATACTACGTCGGCGCGGCACACTATACTTCCGGCTTCCGGGTTCCGGGTTCAAGACTACCACGTTGTTTTGGCAATAACTATTTGACCATTCTGCGTTCAAGCCTCAAGCTCAGCTCAACTCAGAATTGAAGCGCATTCTAATCATTGACTTTAAAAATTTGAAGTGTATTTCACAACATAACCTCGAGTTATAACATTACATCTGTTTTCTTCAAGGCTTTAACAAAGTTCATCATAAAAAATGGTGAGCTATTAATCATATTTAATTATCTATAAATCTTTGAATAAATTTTCTAACACTAAAAAAAATTAGCTTGAATTATTGAGAGAAAAATTTTTGAAAAAAAAAATTTAATTAAACTCTTTTTTTTTTATAAATTGAATTTATTGAGAAGTTAACTAATAAAATTTTGATTATGTTTCAGGAATCCTGCAATTGTACATCTGATTGTATTTCCAAGACAAGCGTCCCCTTGACCAACCTGCGCTTGATCATCACCAGCCTCTTCATCAGATATCCATCTCTACGAGAAAACGAATTGGCAATTTCTGACTACGTTATAGAAGTTGCCAAGGGTGTCACGGAGAAAAGATTCATGGAGTTGAAGTTCCAGTGGCTAAAAGCAAAATATAGTGCAACGTGTTTTAGGTTTTTCTTCTACAATTCGCTTAAATATGTAGATAATTGTAAAATGGCTCAAGCTCTTCTGCGTGAATGTATAAAAATGAAAAAATTCAAAGAATATGTAGCGTTCAGAGAGAGACATTCAAAGATGATTGAAAAGTTTCTCTCGATAGGAATGACTACCAGAGATTGGGAAGAGTTGCTTGAGGCCAAAAAACAAGAGCTTTTGGCCTTCAAGCTAGAATATTCAGATTTTCTAACAGAGAGAGAGAAGTGTTTGGCTGAATCAATTCAAAATGATAAAGAGTTGATCAGACTTAGAGAGCTAATAATTGAAAATTAATTTTTAGCTCTTAACTTGTTAAATATTTTATATTTTAGTAGTATGTAATTAAATTGTAAATATTAAATTTTAGATTTTAAGTTTTAAGTGTTAATTTATAGATTGTAAATTGTAAATATTTGTGAAATATTTAATTCTAGATTGTAAGTTGTAAATATTGTTTATGATTAAGGAAAAAATAAAAATTAATTCAATTAATTGAAATATTTGGTTATTCTTATTAAAAATAAATTAATAATTAATTAATTAAAAAAATTTCTTCATTATGTTTTCAAATAATTCTTTTTGTATAAATATTTTTCTATTGTTAATTCCAAAATTTTGTAGTCTAAAAATAATAAATAAACTAAAGATTAAATATACAAAAAGTGTTTTAATATTCAGACAAAAAAAATAATGCATGCAATAAATTTTAAAAATTAGTTTTTAATATATTTAATTATTTTTTCATCTTCATTCAGCTTATTGTAATTAAAAAAGATTAAAATGACTTATTCTATTATTCAATTTTAAAAGAAAGAAAATAATTTTGCAAACAGTTAATGATAATTAGTTTTAAAATATTCCCAAAGTAGCGCTAATTGATTTTCGGTATGTTTTGTTCAACTCCACAAAATTTTACAGACTGACCAACTTCCTCCCCCATACTATACTCTCCAACCGCTCGGCTTGGGATAATGTAAGAGTTGTATACAAAACATAGTTAAGTATCGCACCACGTGTATAATATATAAATACTTTTCAAAAAATAACAAGTATTTAAATACTTAATTAATTTGAATAAAAATTAGAATAAAGTTTAGATAATTATTAATTTTCTAAAATGGTAAGAAAAAAATTTTTTTTCTTATATTTAATTACCAATTATCATGATATATACTCAAAAGAATGAAATTCTATATTTTGTGCATGTTTATGTTTGTAGTCCTAAATATTTGATGTAAAAAAATTTTTTTAGATGTTTTGTGATTGTTCACCCCGTTGCGTGTCGAAAATGGATGATCCATTAGTGGAAATAGTCACGGTGATAGAAAGAACAATTCTTTTATGCAAAGACGTCATCAGGCAGGAAAGATACATGGTGCATTACACCCACCTAGTAGTCAAGGGTATGTCGCTAGAGCGATTTATAAAATTGAAGTGTCGGTGGTTGCAAGCCAAAATAACCAGAACTTCATGTACGATTGATTTGTACAAAGATATCAAGTACTTAGAGGAGTGTAAGGCAGCGCAAGCTGTGATGAATAATTTCCTCGAAGACGTATGCTTTGAGTATTTTGTGTTGAGAAAAAAATACGCTAAAGCTGTGGACAAACTTCTTTCGCTGGGAGATCAAATTTTTGAAATTTATGATGAAGATGCTGACCGGCGGAATCTTATAATTTTTCAGAAAAGGTATTCTGAATTGAAAGGAAAAATATAATTGTTAAAGAAATTGAAAAGTTTCTTAAAAATTATAATTAGATTTTAGATATAAGTTGAATTTTGTAAATAATTATTAGTTTTTAAGCACTTTTTTTTTCTTCCTGTAAATAATTTTTTATCTATGAAAAATATTAATTTATTTTATGTAAAAATTAGTTAAATATAATTGAATTTATTGTAAAAAAATAAAAATATTTTTTAACATTAATGTTTTATAATTTTTCTTAATTTTTATACTTTGATATTATTAATAAAACATTTTAAATGACAAATGGATAAACATTTAGTTTAAAATAATTATAAGACAGTCTTTAAATTATAAAGAAAAGTCCACTTTTTCTTAGTAATAATTATTACCAAAATTTCTTCACAAAAAAAAATGTTAAACGTGAAGAAAGACTTTTTAATTACTATTAATTTATTTAAAAAATGAACATTTGAAAGATAAAATTCTGATGGACGAAAAGAAGAAAAATATAATTTAATGTCGCAATTCAATAAAAGTTACTCAATAAATAATGTATTTGCCACTCCTAGATGTCTGGCTCTTCAGAACAAGAAGACGAGTCTAATAATGTGAAAAAGAAGATGTCGCTGGTGGTGGGAGCACTGGTGATGACGGTCAATCATCTGTCAGATAATAAGAAACTTTGACCAACTGTGATTAATTGTTTCTCTTTCTATCGCTATCACTATTACACTATTACCCGCTTCTAATAAATTATTTAAGAATTAATTTACGAGTAATAGACATTTAATTAATCGGTTAAATTAGCTTGCGCAAGCCGACTCAAATTATAATTATAAATTATAATATATAATGTAATAAAATAAAAAATTGAGACCAGACATCATTTTTATGTCAGACATAAAAAATAATTATGTTAATGTAAAAATAGAAATATTTATCTATTTTTAACGCCGACGAATTTCTAAAACTGGCAAGGACGTCTGGCTTCCTGATGGACAGGATTTGTCATGCTAATATTTTAATTCATAAGTATGCCCAATTAAATTTGACGAGGTGGAGGAATTAAATGAAAGATCAGTTTTTTTTAACACTGCGTTTATTAAAGCATTTTATCAAACAACAAACAGTAAAAAAAGAAGTTTTGGGAAGAAATCATAATCAGCCGAGCAGTCCGAGTAGTCCTAGGTTGGTCAAGCCGCCTAAAGGTAGTAGCCTCCGTAGCCGTGACCGTAGTAAGGATAACCTAGGATGAGAACCACCTTCGTTTTTAAAAATGTAGATTTTTTTTTGTAATAATTTAAATGAACATTGCTAGCAAATTTGGCCAATCCTTTGCAAAAGCGATCTTCAAACTTCAAACAAAAAATTATAAGCCAGTTATGATTTGAAATTAATTTTTAGGTTTAAAATTTCTTGCAAAATCTTTAAGCGAAAATTCAAACGAGAAATTGCAAGAAATATGTTTAAAATAATTTTCAAACAAAAAATTGAAACTTTTTAAAAAAATATTAAATGAAGAAAAATTAAAACAATTTTTTTTTACATCTTGAATTAAAATTGTGGAGAGAAAAATTTTAAAACAAATAATTAAAATAATTTTTAATGGAAAAATTTTAAATTAGAATTTTCAAATGAAAAATAAAATTTCGGAAATGAAATAAAATTGTCAATGATAAATTTTTCTATGAGAAGAAATTATTAATATGATTAATGTATGGTAATAATAATAATTGTTGATAAATAGATATTATCTAATGGAAATTGTCTTTGCTAAATACAACCCGATGACTCACTCTTTCTTCAAAGCTTGATACTCGGTGTTAATTATTGACAATGCCATTTGCTAATTATTGACACAGTGTATCATTGTATTGCATTGAAGAACTAATTTAGAGTACTTGGAAATTAACTGAGTGTAATAATTTATTTATATAATGGTTACTTCAAATTTATGAAGATTTCCAAGAAAAAAGTAAAAATTTTTAAATAAAAGTTTTGAAAACTCACCCCCGTAGTAATGGCCATAGTAAGGATAACGGTAGTATCCGCCATAGTAAGGGTAGTGGTAACCTAACCCATATCCATATCCAAATCCACCGTATCCACCATAGAATCCACCAGGGCGCGCAGTAGCAACGCTGATCATCACGGCGATCAATAGCAGTGAGAGCTATTCAAGAATAATTAATATTTGAAATTGCCAATCAATTTAAATTGTTAATTTTGATGAAAAAAAAAATTAAATTGTGAAGAAATGAAAATTAATTACAATTATTGTAAAAAAAAAGAATAAAACTGTGAAGAAAAGCAAAATTTATAGTGAAGAAATGAAAAATAATTAAAATGATTAATATTGTTTAAAAAAACAGAAAAATTGTAAAGAAATAAAAAATATATTGAGAAGAAATGGAAATTAATATTGAAGAAAGCTTACGATCTTGGTACAGGCCATACTGTCGATGGATTAAAGATTTGAATGAACAATTTGAACTATAAGATAAGACAGACTCAGTCTTAGTGTACTAATCAACCTGCTGGGAAGTTCTTTTATGCAAAAAGCACTTCCTCCCTGATCCCCACTCGTGACAATGCATTGAAATTTGCATAGCTTCTCCCCCTCTTATTTTTCTCAATAAACACGCATGCGAATAATAATAGTCTTCATTGTCAAACAACGTTGGTCTTCCTCTAAGAAAAAAGTATATTTGTGCGGATTATGAAATTACAATAAGTAACTAAATGTGTAAAGGACACTGGACACTGTACACTGTACACAGTCTATCGAATCACCCCGCCCATATATATTTAATATTTTATTATACACGAGTGGTTAACGCACCTTGACATCCAAAATAATTCCCACCCAGAAATCAACGCTGATAATCTGGGTGCATCGTGTGTAACCGTTGTCACCAATTATTAGTATCCATGACAGAATTACATGCCAAAGATATGTTTAGATTTTTCTTTTGTAATTATGTAATATTAATATGTATTATTATTTTTTATATCTTAATAACTTTATTGAGTTTATTGCTAAGTTATTCTTATTATTTATTACTTTGTCAAGTTTTTCTTTTTATTAGAAGTTATATTCATTAATAAGCGGTTCATTAATTTAAATGAGCATTTTAAGGAATTTAATTTTTATTCTTAAGATACTAATTACTTATTTAAAGATCTTAGAGATTTAAATAAGTCATTAAAGGATTTTGATTTTTCATTCAAAAATATCAGGAATGTTAATTAATTTTTAAGATGATTCCTTTAGAATTTTAATTAGTAATTTCAAGGCTCTAAATATTAATGAGTATTTAATGGATTTTGGAGATTTAAGGACTCTGATGCCATTTAAGATTTTTTCTTTGTCTCTTAGAAATTTTAATTTATAATTCAGAGATTTTTGGAACTTTCAAAGATACTTTAGAGATTTAAATAAGTGATTAAACGATTTTGGTTTTGATTTTAAAAATTATAGAAGTCTTAATAATTGTTTAATATTTTTGAAATTTTTATTGTGATGTTTTAGGAAGTTTAATAAGTAATTTAAGAATTTAAATTTATTTTTTTCAAGGTTTTGTCAAGTAGTTTAGAAATTTTAATACGTAATTTATTGATACTAATGAATCAATGATTAATTAAAGAATATTGATGATTTAATAACTTATTAATGAATTTTAATGATTTATTGAGCGCTTATTTCTCCTATAATTAGAATTATTATGAAACATTAATGCTTAATAACTAATTATAAAAAAAAATAAATAATTTGTGCTTAAAATATTTTATTAAATACCAATTTGCAATATTCAGACTCCTATATTATAAAAAAAAATCAACAACTACATAAAACTATCTTTCATAATTAAACTGCGTCAATATCTGGCCATTATAAAATATAAAAAGTCTCTTACTGTCTGCATTAATTCACCCGATCCATTAAACCTATCAATAAACTACTTAACTAATAATAATAACAATAATTTTTAATAATTATTTCGAATAAATTAATTTATTTTCAATACTAAACTCATCGAAAAGCATCAATTTATTAAAAATCCCGCAATTGATCACAAACATGGTAATAAATATTAAAAAATCTCAATTATATTTATCGTGGTAACTACAATATTCCACATTTTATTGCTCCACATGATGATTACATTAACATAAATATAAAGCTGGGTTAAAGTCACTCTATCATCCTTAAAGCTATTAAGTAACTTCGACAAGATTAAGAAACATTTTTTATTATACAATAAAATGAACCCGACTGTAATTAAAAATCCAGCTTACAACTTAAATAAAATAAATTCTGTACATTAAAAAAAGAAAAATTTCGCTGCAAAAACATTTATTAAAACTTTAAATACAATAAAAAAAGACAATACAATATTACAATCATAAATCGCTAAAAAATTTATACAATATTAGTTTTTGGGTTTTTATCAACAATATTGGCGCCCACAGAGTGTTGCTTGAACGCGTCAGAATTGATACGAACATCTGAATAGTCATTAACTGGAGGGTAGAACAATTTTTCAATTTGTAAACTCTCTACTTCTGGAATTGTGGTGGTTGTTTTTTGTGTGGGAGATTTTCTCTGCGAATTTTGGGAAGATTCTTCAGATCTTCGGGAAGAATTAATCTGAGGGTTAATTTGCCCGTTGATATTCTGCCCGTTGTTGTTCCCGGGAATTTGCTGGGCTTGAGCGCCATCTGGACGGCCCTGGAAGAAGGGGAAGTTTGGGTTCAATCCTTCTTGTTCGTTTCTTTCAAAGTTTCCATTAAAAGGCTGCTGGAATCTTTGATTCTGCAAGAGGTTGAAATTTGGCGCGTAATTCTGGGGATTCGCGAAATTCTGCTGCTGGAAGGCTCCATTTACCGGCCCGATGCCCTGTCCTTGTCCTTGACCTTGTCCTAACCCTTGTGCGAGTCTAGCCTGATCAGGGTTCTGGAAATTGGCCCTCGGGTCCTGGAAATTCTGCTGGTTTTGCCCCAAGGCTCTGGGGTCTTGCGGGAAGTTCAAATATTGGTTCTGTCTCTGGGAGGGATCGAAGAAACGATTCCCCGGAAACTGTCCATTGAACCCGAACCTTCCGAAATCTTGGAACCTGTTGAAGTCCTGCGGGTTCGCGGGGTAATTGAACTGCCTATTAGCGTTAGCGCCGTTATTTTGGTTTACTGAACCCGCGAATTGTTGGGGCTGGGCGCCATTGTCATTTGCCCGAGAGCCGTCGAGCGAAGCGAAAGGTCGGTAGATGTCCGAGTTAAAGGGATCTCCAAAGTTCCCCAATCCGCCATTGAACTGCCCAAATTGGCCCAATTGGTTGTTGAACTGCCCGGAAAGTTGGCGCCCAGCTCCCTGGTACCCGGTACCGAAATCACGGAAGTTGTTTCTGGCGTCGAAGGGAAATTGGTTCTCTAACTGAGTTTGGGGCGCTCGGAGAGAATCCGTTTCTTCAGCTTTTATCAGGTGGGAATTTGGGACCACGGCTACTTTTGGTTTTTTGGAGGTTAATCTGGTTGGCTTGGGCTTAGTGGGCGTTGCGGGCAAGGCTGTCGGGTCGTTGTAGAAAGAGTCATGGCTTTCTTTGTTGCCGGTGCGGTTTGATGCGCGGTTTTGGATCTCTTTCAGAAGGTTTGGGGATAAAATGGCGCCCACGTTCGCTGATAAAGATGAGAGCAAATTTGGCGCTGGAACAAAGTTTGAAATTTAGTTTTTTTTAATACTTTTTTTTAGGGAAAGTTTTGTAATGGTAAAAAATTTGGAAAAATTTATTTTTGGTTTTTTGAAATTGATTTAAGGCTAGAAATTTAATTTTTATTCTAAATTGGTTAAGTAATTATTATTTAAAAATTGTTTAACACTTTTTTGGCAAGAAAATTTTGTATCATATTCGGAAAATTTTGTTAGAATTAATTTAGGACTAGAATAAATTTGAATATTAAATTATTGCTCAAAAGTTGTTTAAATATTATTTAAAAATTTTTTACTTACTTATAACTGGATGTTCCGCTGTATATCCATTCTGAAAAATTCCCAGGCAAATAATTCCACATAAAAAAATCTGTAAATTAAATATATCAAAAATTAATTATTACTTCAAAGTATCTAATAAGTTTTACAAACATTTTTAAAACACTAAAAATTTATTCTTTTTCTCAAGAAACTTAGGATTAAATAAAAAGATGTCTTGTTAATTTTGTCACTTAAAATTCAGGATTTACAAAAAAAAAAACTTATAGTTGTATTAAATCATTACAAAGTATTATGTTTTGTTAATAAATCAACTTCCGCAATTTTTTTCAACCACAAAAAAACCTCAATTTAAATTTAAAAATTCAAGGACACCAGGATCGAACATAAAAAAAATTGAATACTTAATTCAATACTAAAATACTTCCTTTAAAAATAAAATTTTGAGCGTAAATTTAAATAAAAAGTAAATGCATCAAAAAGCCGAGTTTATGTCAAGTAATTTATAATTAGCAATTAAATTTTATTTATTGCCGAATAAAATTTTGGAGAACACTCACGATTAAAAATAAATACATTTAAATATTTAATAAAAACGTCCGATGATTTTTTAACAGCAAAAATTAAATTTAATTTTGAAGTACTCACATGCAAAGTACTACACATGATTCCTTATTTCTGCAGAGACTAAAAGATTTTGATGGTGCTCCTAGTCATATATACGTCGGCACTCATGACTCGCGAAATCGTACAACAATGATAATAGAAAAAAATAAATAACTCGCGTATTTTCACATCCATTCCCATTCATTAAAACAAATGCTACTTGACGCGGAAAATGTTCATGCACGACAGGGACAGGATGTCGCGTTTGCGGTCATCACGTTCTTTGCCAAATACTTAATTTCTTCCATCTTACATTTTCTATCCATACGTATTACATACTTTACATACTTATAATTATTATTACCTACTGCCTAGTTTGCTGATCATTGTAATTTTTTCTACTTAACTATTGTGCAATTATTTTTATTATTATTTATGATAATGCATTAGATTACAATTCTTTACATATTATAATATACAGACCGCGCCTAATTACTAACATAATTAATAAACTATTACAATATAACATAACTAAGTACAACAATATTAACATATTAGAAAAATAATAAATTTAACAATTTTTTTATTTTTTATTGACAATTTATAATTGTAATTTAAAATTGAATTTTTTATATTTTACATTTTTAAAAAATTATTAATTCAATATTTAATTGGATTTTTATGCAAATAATTTAAATTAAGTAAAAAATAACTTAATAAACATTTTTAAAAACTTTCTCCTAGTAAATAATTTTTTATAAATATTAAATGAATAAAAATTATATCAAATAATAGCAAAAAAAATTATATTAATTAAAATAAATTATTTATTTGTTTTTATACGACCAAATCAGGCCGAAATTTTTCACGGGTATTACTTTAAAATTGATTTTTAATTAAGAAAAAATTAATTTTTAAATACACTAAATATATTTTTTGTTTGCCTCAAATTTTTTCTTAATAAAAATGTATTTTACAAATTATTAAAAAATATGTACATAAAAATTTATTAAAATTGATATAAATATTTAATTAAAAAAAATTTAGACTTTTACAAAAAAAAAAAACTATTTTTTTTTTTACAATTAATATAAAAATATTAAAAAAATTTAGACTTCAATTTTTTTTTTTACAAAAAAAACAACTATTTTTTTTTTATATTTTTGACGATTTGTTAAAATATTAAAAAAAATTAAGTTAATAAAATATGAACAAAAATTTTAATTTATTTTTTAAACCCAATCTGAGTCAAAGTTCCAATAACACCAGGAGCAACAACTCCAGGAAGTTTATAAATTTGAACGGGTCCTCGTCGGCGCCTTTCTAGTCCCGGCGCTCGGTAATTAGGCGTAATAACGACAGTAGATCCTGGTTCATAGGCAGGCCGAGGTCGGTACTGGTTCGGGTTGTACCCGTAGTAAGACCTGGGATCCGAAATTTGCCTCCCGACATCTCCGGACCGGCTGCCGTAAGGAATTCCACCTGAAAAACAGGAATTTAAATAAACAATTTCGTTAATTATTCAAAAGAGGTATTTATCATACTATAATGATATAAATTATTGACAAACATCACTGAATATGTTAATGAATTGTTTTTGAATAAAAAACGTCTGCTGGTGATAAATGTAGTCTATAAATTTGTTATGCTGAAGGCGTTTTTGAATGTGGTTTCTTATATACATCTATATAATATATAATATTGTATATAATATGTTACATTACATTACATTACAGGTAAGACAGGAGCAAAAGTGAAAGGAATCGAGAATGACAGAAATACCAGAGATTATTGTCACAAAAGAGATGAACTTTTGGTGTTTACAACAAATATTTTATTACCGAAGTTACCTTCGATCAAACCAATAAATTTTTTATTTGTAATTAAAGTTATTTATTATTTATAATTTAATTGCTGACTTATTTATTTGCCAGGGTAAAATTTTGTAAATAATAATTTTTATATTAAGACATTTAACTTGGCAATTTAGCGGGATTTGACATTTAGAGCTGTTGCGCGAGATATTTTATTATTTTTAATGGTTATATAGTTCAAAGCGATTATTAGGAATAATAACACTAATTATTAGTATTATTTATAGCTTGTAGGATTCGAGAAAGTACAACCGGTTGATGCCGCGCTCTCTGAGCTGATCCTCAAGCTACGGATGAGTATTTTTATCAACTGTTGGTTTTGTATCAACATAGCGCTCAGGAAAATTAGTGGATTATATTATCATTGGAAATTTTTGGTAATTTGGAGGTAAGTGAGACATCTTTCAACGGCGTGGGGTAAACTATTTTTTTTTATATTGATTTTTGAAATGTTTAATAATTAATTATACGAAAAAGAATGATAATTTATGAAAAAAAGTGATAATTAATTAATTATGAAGCTCTTTAAAAATTTTATGGAAAAATATATTAATAATAAATAAAGATAATATTAAATGTTTATAAAAAATAAATTTTCATTTTAAAGATCTTAAAAATATATTTTCCTCCTTATAAATTTCATGTATTTTTAATAAATAAATTTTTTAAATTAATAATTACTGTCTGATAATAATTACATAAATTTCTGCACTATTTTAAACTTCAAACTTTGTCCTTTTAATATTATTTATGAATCATAATTAATTTACAGTACTATATAAAATATTGTGCTCTTATTACAAAATGTTCCGTATAAATAAACAGACTTTTAGTTGATATCGTTTATATTTAATGTTTGTTGAGAAATAACAAAGAATTGAATCAATAAAAATTATTTTATAATCAACTGGGCATAGAACTGTAACATATCTTATTTTGTAATGATTATTGATGAAAAATAATAAAATATCATTACTCACCGTAAGCAAGTCCATTAACCATTTCAACGATACCTGCACTGTCTGGAAATGCGTTGATACCAATTATTGTAAGGCTAATTAGAAATATCTGAAATGAAACACGCTTGATTTATTCACGATTTATTGATTTGCATTTGCAATAAAGTAATTAATAATAATTGAGGTAGAGCTTGGTTTGTCATTGAAATCTTTATTGAGGAATTTGTAAATAGATTTGAATATTTGTTTTTTAAATTAAATTGAAGAATATACTTGATATATTTTTTTCAGAACTCGTTTATTTTTTATTCATTCTTTTATACTGTACCTAATTTCTTTCGTTTCTCTACTTTACATCCGATAAAAATTTTTTTGTTCATATCAATAGTCAATGTCATTTTTTTCCTTTTCAAAACATTTAAAAAAAATTTTCAAACAAAACAAAAAAGATTCATGTTTATAATTCTTTATAAAAATTCATGAATCACCACAACAAAACACAAAGTATACTACGTAGCAGTTTTTGTTACGCTTCATTTCATTCTTCACAAAAAAACATCAACAACTATTATAAAAGTTATATTTAATTTATCCCACTTATTTATTGTATTCACACTTTTTAATTCAAAGCGCGGAATTCTAATCCATCAAAAAAAAATTATGTATTTCATACTTTGTAAAAAAAATATTCTTTAATTAAAAATTAATTTTTAAACTTTCGAATTGTTTTTTTCTTCTTTCATCTTTTTATATTTAGCAATTATTTACAATAATCAAAACATTTATTTCTTCTTATTAAAAATGTATTCTTCATAAAAAATAAACTATCAACATATTTCTTCTTTCAAAAGTTTTTTAATCGTTATAAAAAAATTTTTTTTTTTAAATAATCGACATATTTTGTATAAGAATTTTTTTCATACAATTTTTTACCGACAAAAATTCTTAAAAATAAAATTTTCTATTTTTCCCAAATAAAAAAAATTTTTTAAATGGTTAAAAAAATTCCTAAAAGAAGAAATAAAAATCTGAAAAATTTCCACACTTGCTTAAAAAATTTTTGTCTACAAAAATAAATTTTTAAAAAATAACTCTGAACTAAACAACACCTAAAATAAAATTTCCTAATTTTCCTAAACAAAAAAAATTATTTAAATGCTTAAAAAATTCTCAAAAGAAGAAATAAAAATTTCTAAAATTTCCGCAGTTGCTTAAAAAATTTTCGTCTACAAAACTGAATTTTAAAAATTATTTTTAACTCTAAACTGAACAACACCTACCTTAAGAGAAACCATGACGACAGATCTCGCCCGAACAAGCGACACTAATGAAACGACAACAACCAGCAAAAAGAAGTGATATGATTCAGACAGTCGTCACCAATGATCTGAATTACATAGATACAAAACGTATCAACAGCAGCATCAAGATCAACTTATACTTAAGCGTGCTTTGTTTCTACCAATAAGAATCTAGTATTTAGTATTTCCTTTCGTACACGATCGGAGATATCGACAACTATCAGCTTCCATACGCACAACACATCAGCGAGTATAATAATGCAAATGGTAGTTTGCCATCCAGGTATATCACTGGTAGCTCGTTGCTTATAACTTGTAACAACTCGTAACTAGTAACTCGTATTACTTGTAACGCCTAAACCTTGAAGTATAGGTTCTACCTCTCACATCAGTGCCTTTGGAGACGATCAAGGCTCTACACTTACTTCTTATTTGCCTTATCCTCTATCTATGTCCTCTATTTTCTGTTTACCCGGCTGATACAATTTAAATCATAACTCATTAAAATAATAACAATGACAATATCCATCATTCACCCGGACAATTATCCATTTATCGACACAATCCTCGCTCCTGACACCAATCAATAGTCATCAATCAATCACTCAATTCGACCGACTATCGATTCCGATCCTCAAACGCATTTCTTAATAGTCTAGACTACTTGATCCATTTCCATATTTTCATTGTTCGCTCCTCCTTCTTCTTCTTTTTCTTCTTCTTTTTCTTCTGTTATTTCTTCTTCAATCTTATTTTGTTTTGAATAATTAAATTGGGTCGGGGTCACCTGGTCAGGATTATTGACCGGAGCAATTATTTCAGTACAAGGTCTCGGCTAAACTGCTACTTTTACTCAATTAGCGAATTCTTTTTAAATTATCGGCAATTACTTCTATAAGTCGCCTTTTGTTGACGAAGAGATAGTTTGCTTAATAGAAAAAAAGGAGGGAGCTTTGGGTGGCTGACAGAAATACATTTTTTTAGAAAAAAATCAGGGAAGAAAAGAAAAAAAATTAATTTGATTGAAGAAAAAAAAGGTTTTGACTAATTTTTTGGGTTTAGTAATTTTAATTTGATTTAAAATTTATTAATAAAATTTTCTCAAAGATTCAATAAATTATAAAAACAAAACTCTTCAATTAATCAAACAAAAATTTTATAATTAATTAATTTAAAAATACACTTACCTGTATTGACCAAGATAATCTCAATAATAACAATATAAAATTTACAAACTTAAATAAATATATTTATTAATATTAATTTAATAAAAAAATATAATGTAGAACTATAATTACCAATGCACTTTTTAACGCTAAAATATTTTCCTTTATTTAATAATATGTTATATACATGTTAATACAATATTACACTATTAATAAACTAAATAAGCAGTTAGTAGTTATCAACTATCAATTAATTTCTTAATTAAATAATAAAATTAGTAGTCGTAATTCTCGGCAATCCAGGAAACAGACGAAATAACTTTCCGAGTGCCGTGCTCAGTCAACTGGAGATTTTTGTTCAACGGTAAGCTAATATCTAGTCTATACTGTTCATTATTACCATTATTATTATCATTACCGTCATTACTATTAATATCAAGCCGGTCGATAGACATGGACTCAAGCGAACCGGTTCTATTATTCGGAATAACTGAAATAATAGTGTCCCTAACGCCATTCTTGTCTATTTCTTGGGTGCGGTAAATGTGCTCTGGAGTTTCTTTGGTGAGGATTGAAACTTTCTGGACGATTTTCCCGGCAGATGAGTTGTCTTTCACTTCTGCATCACTACCCATTTTTGGAAACGACATCGTGATGATCTCTTCTTTGGAAACTTTTGACCGATGCTCCACTTTCCTCGAAGACGGCGTTGTATTATCTAAAAACTTTCTAGAAGGCGGCCTAGTCGTAGCACCTCCCCAAATTCTTTGACCACCCGCAACTTCCAAATTCGAACTATTCGCTTTGATAGTTCCCCTGTTCACCAATTTCCTGAATTCAGGCACCGTTTTTACTGCCCTGGGGCTGGAATGTGCTTTCGCCTGATCTTCCTTCAAGCTTTCAATGCTTCTCTGGGTGACCGGCCTCCTAACCCTGGGCCTAATCGTGTAAGCAATCGGCGATGTCATCGTCGTTGACAAAATCAGTGGAGTCGTAGCTTCAACCTTAGACATTTCTTCAGTCGCAGGAATTTGCGGCGTTGAAGTCGTCGAAGGATCAACTTTTCTTCCCTTGCCTATCAGCTTCTTGAACCGGAACCCAGATTTAGGATACATGTCCTTACCATCCCTTTCCCCTTCATCTTCATCAGGCCAGAAATGTCCCCTCCTGCCTCCATACTTCCAAGGCACAGAATACCTCTCCCAAGGATAAGCTTTCCTAAAATAAGTCTTGCTCTCCGAAGGACTCCACTCAGGCCCATATTTCTTCCCCCGCTCTCTCCTCACCCTATCTCGGCGTTCCCAAGGGTACTCGTGCCTTCCCGTGAACCGTTCATGCTTCCTAGATTCCTCAGAAGCGTCTTCCTCATCTTCATGCCACGGAAAAACGTATTCTCCAGATTCCTCCGAGTCTTTCTTCTTTGACTCTAATGAATCAAAAGAGGGATGATGGAAGGCAGGCTTATTGACCCTCGGCCCTAGGCTCGCATACTTTGGGTCATAGTAACTCTCATAAGACGAAAAAGGCCTGTAACTGAACCTTTCAAACTCCTTTTCTCCTTCAGACATTTCTTCGTAATTCCTTTCTGCATCCGCAGATGCTTCTTCTGACTCCGATTTGGATCCTGAGTCTTCAACATATTCTGACCCATCATTTTCATCCTCCTCTTCTTCATCCCCACTGCTGGCTTCATATTCCTCCTCCTCCTCCTCCTCCTCCTCCTCTTCATCATCTTCCTTCCTTCCAGTATCCTCATTCTCCGTATTCTCATTCGCAGCAGGTCTGTAAATCTCCTTCCCTTCCTCAACCTTCTCAGGAGCTTCCTGAACGTCTTCATGAACATCATATCGGTCCACCTCCTTCTTGGGCTCCTGCCCCTTGGTCTCAACTTCATACACCTCATCAAACTTCCTCACTGCAGTGTATCTAGGTTCATTTCTCCTCCCTTGACTCTCAGGGTCCTGGAACCTCCCGAACCTGACTGCTCCTCTGGGCCGGGAATTTTTGTCCTCTCTGCTCAAATTCTTCCCTTTTACCCCAGAATTAGAAACATTCCTAATCTTCCTCGAATCAAAACTCCCCACATTCTTTAAATTAGACTCAACATTCCTTAAATCCCTCTTGTGGACCCTTACAGTCTTAAAGAACCCCACGACCTTTCCGTCCGTTCCTTTAAATCCTTTCACCATCGGCCTGGTCCGATAACTGACCCTGTTTGTCCTGTACCCTCCAAGTTTCGGATGCCTGGTCCTCCCTCTTAAAGGAACCACAACATCTCTGGAACTAGTGTTGATCCTCACCTGGTCATTCTTCTCCCTAGAATCCTGCCGCTTCTTCTTCGGAGGAGGGCGGGTGCTCAGAACATGAACTCCTTTGTACATCGTCGCCAAGTTCTTGATCGTCCCCATCACATCATCATAAACTTCCCTCTGATAGGGCGAAAGTGTAGGAGAAACTCGCTTTCGCTTTCGATACTTCTTAGCATGATTGTTCCACTTCCCTTCTTGTTTATCACCACGCTCTTCAATTCTGCTTTCTACAGACCTAAGGTCAACCGGACCTGACATTCTGCGCAGCGAATTGTCTTCATAGTCTTCCGTCAAGCCTTCAAACCTAGCTCTCAATGCTTCTGGGTCCAGTTCTGTAGGCACTGTCGGAGGTTCTATCTGCTTCTCCACAAACAGCGGATTGTCTAATGGCTCTTCGTCAAAGTACTTCTCCTTCAAGCACAGCAGCTTGTCTCCCAACCCCTTCAATCTCGGAAGATTCTTCTCCGTAGTTCCTGGTTCCTTCTCTGGGACTTCTTCCGACAATTCAGGCTCCACATCTTCACAGCTCATGTACTTGTCCCTCGAATCGTAGAATTCCGAACCTCCCAAAGTCTTCCTTGGAACAAAACTGGGGTTGATTACATACTTCAATGCCGTTGAATGCTCCATTAAGTTATAAAAAGGATACTTCTCTTCATCAATCCTAGCATCGGCATCACCCTTATCATTACTTGCATTCTTGGACTTATTATTTTGAGCAACGACTTCTGCATAATTGAATTCCGGCACTTCGACCTCAACCTTTCCTTCTTCTTCTTCTTCCTGACTTACCTCCAAGCTCTCTTTACCACTACGATCCTCCCCATTTTCAGGAAACCGTTTGTCCAACTCACCATCAACAACCTCATCAACCACAATCGGCGCACTGAACACTCCCCGTTTTTTCCTCAGAATGACAAACTTCCTCGAGATAAACCGATTATTCTTCCAACCTTCCGATACTTTCTCATTGTCACCTTTTTCACGGCCTGTCACTAAATAACGCGGTCGCGATCCACCGAACCGTAACGCCGATTGATGACTAAGAGCCTTAATCATCCGAGGCTGATCGTGCTGCGGTTGAGTACTCCCATTTCTCCGAAGATTGTGATACTCTGCGTACTCGCTCCTGCTGGTCAGCGAAGGCGGAACCATTTTAGTCATAGCTAGCAATTTGTCCCTATTACGATCCAGCCGAGATTCCTTCTGTTTTCTCTGATAACGGTAACTAGGAACTGGCTTAGCATTTTCTTGCAGCCCACTTTCTGTCGTCGAAAAAACCGATTTCTTCTTCGGCTCCAGATTCGTTCCGTTGTTCTCCATCTTGGGTCTCACCATCACCAAATACGTTTTCTTAGGCTTCTTTATTTCGTCCACTCTATTCAGTTTCTTATCAACATCCTCCGCAGATTCTCCTCCAGATTCGTACATCCTTTCGACTCCCCTCCGCTTCCAAGTTTCATAAATCTGCGCCAGGGTTGGATAGACATAATTCTCTTCCGACCGCTCCAAATTTTGGACCTTCTTCTCTTCTCTCCTATCAAAATTCGGTGCATTAACAACCAAAACTTGCTTTTCCAAGCTTCTTTTTGGCAATGTTGTCGTATAGACACTGCCGACATAAGTATCAACACTTTTAGCTGTTGTTGTAGCAGGATGTTCAGCAGCAACAATCCTAAACCCCGAGCTTCCACTGTACTCAAAAGAATCCTCATCATCCTGATAATCCTCAGAAGACCTACCAACCTCTTCTTCTTCTTCATCATAATCAGAATCCTTCAGCTCCCTCAAATTTTCCGGAATTTCTGCCTCGGCTCCCTTTTCAGCTTCTTTTTCTTCCCTTTCGATATCCTTCTCCAGCAAATCTATCTCGTTTTCCACGATCAATCTAGGACTCACTCCATATCCTCCAGAATTCTTCCTCGGATACACAATCTTATCATACCTTCCTCTATTTCTACCATCATCATCAAATCTATTCTTAGTTCTAGTCCGCTCACCAGATTCCTGCCACGAATTGTAAAAGTTCTTTCTTGGTTCTTCTTCACTATCACTATCTTCACTTTCTCCCTTCAATTCCAAACCCTTGGCCCTATGCTTTCCTTGGTCCTGTTCATAATTTTCTTTAAAATCAGCATCCCTGATGTGTCCGGCGTGGTCATAGGCAGCATCTTCGAAGCCTTCTTCAGTGTAAAAGGTGTTGATCTTCTTGTCACTGACACTTTCCTTCAACCTGGCAGCTTCTTCCTTCTCGACATCGGTCTGGGCCCTTCTTAGGGCCTCTTTCCGGGGGACTTTCTTCACAGAACTCGATCTCCGGACCTGGGAGTAGAGTCTTTGTGGGGTAAAACCCAATTTTGTGCGGTTCTTTAAAGGTTTTAGCCAATTTCCGGGGACGTATTTTGGTTCGGGAACATGTTCGTGCGACGTGTATGGAATTATGTGATCTGGAGGCTCGTTTTTGCGAACTTCGGGGTCTCTGACCGGGACTTTTATCGACACTAGACACTCGAAATTGTAATTCACTATGAGATAAAGCAGCAGACAGCGTAACATTATGGTTCACTGATGAATAAACATTTTATTATTTATTTATATAACGAGATTCGGCGATGCTTGTTCACAGGCGGCAAGTTTCACAATGATTAGTTGGTATTTTATAAGAATCGTTCACCAGATCTGTTCCGTTACGAAGCGAAATCGTTTGTGGTTTCTAATCATCCTGAATCGAGCTCTTGTCACGGACTAAGCAAGAAAATTGTGTTGGTCTTTATTTATATTTTGTACCATTGGTTTGCCGGCAGACAATGAGGTTTAGGCAGTGGGGGCTGATATTACATTTATTTTTATTGTCATAAAAACCGAGATTGTTATTTTATTATTTGGTTTTATCACGGTATTATGGATTAGAAAATAATCGCTGGGAAGATAACTTAATCATTTTTGGTTTATGGTAATATAATAAGGAAATATTATTTGAATAATTTATTTTTATTGATATTTATTGATTTTTCGGTTAATTGTTATATTAATTATTCGATCACGGAAAAGAAAGTTTTTTACGCATGATAGGAATCATTCGTCTTTTGAGTTTTAGATTGAGAATTTTTAATTGGATTTCGATTTTTATTCTTTCTATGCTTGGATGGAGTAAGCAAATTTTAGTTATTATTTGTTTGAAGTGTCCTGGAAATTTAAATTGCAATTTATAGGAATGAGTGATCTGGAAAATTGCCAGAAATTGATGAATTGTAAATTTATATTTGTGGTATTTTCCTTTTGGTAAAAAAAAATTGTTAAATAATTTCCGTAGTTTCTTTTTTATTCGGGTTTATTATGGAAATTTATTATTTAATTCATTTTCAATTTAAGACTGCAAATAATTCTAAAAAAAATTTTCTTTTTAAAAGCTTTAAAAAAAAAAAAATGAAAATATTATGTTACAATTTTACTGCAAAAAAAATTTTGGATTAAAAAATTTTTTGGATTCAAATTTCAATTTTTTTGTATTAATATATCAAAAAAAAAAAAAAGAAAATTTCGGTCGATATAAATAAATTTTATAATTAAAAGAAAAAATAAATTTAAATTGTCCAAAAATTCTTAACAAATTTTGGAAATAAAATCTTTAAATAATTTTTCCTTAAAAAATAAAATTTTGAGGATTTAAAATATAAAAAAAAAAATATTAATATTATAAATAAAATACTATATTATCAAAATAAAAAAGATAAATAAAGTTAACATATACTTTGTAATAATAACTATAAATAAAAAAATTAACAATCAACAAATCAACAATCTCTTTATACATTAAATTATCAATTAATTAATTATTAAATTATAAATTAAACTTTAACTACATCAATATTAAAAATAAAACAATCAGGTAACTTAATCAGACAAAATAAATTATAATTAAAGAGCGATCATGGGCTTCCAAGAATTGGAACCTCCATTCGCGGTCAATTCAATTGAGGATTTCTGAGTACTCGTAGGGTCAGTAGCTTTCAGCATGGAAGCTTTTGGCTCAAAGAACTCAAGAATCGGATGGTAATTATAATTAACGCGTCGGCCGGGTTCCTCATAGTCATCTTCGAACTCCCCATTGGGCCTTGTATGGGAATCGGTTCCTTGGTCGAAAGCTTGCTCGAACCATTTGTTGAGATTAGGATTGGTGTTCGTGTTAGTGTTCGAAGAACTTTCCTCCAGATCGGTAGATTCTCTCCTGAAAGGCCGATTGGGTCTTGAGGGTCGCTTGCTAACTTTCATGGGTCCTTTGTATCCTGGCGCTCTAGTATTGGGCGCATGTTGCTGCGGAAGTTTGTCAAATGGCCGCGAGGCGGAAGAAGATGATGGTTTCTTTGGTCGTGGTCGAGGCAGGATGAAACTTGGGTGGTTTGAACTACTTGCGTCCAATGGTTTTGATCCTCCTGGAAAATTAATAAAATATTTTTTGTTAATTTATTTTTTATTTTTGTGAAAAAAAATTTAGCTCAAATTTCAGTTTTTTTCCGAAAAAGTGAAAAATTATTTTCGATTTCAAGAAGATAATAAATATAAATTCAAAATTAAAATTTACTTGGGAAAAATATTTTATAAAATTTCATGGAATTTTACTATGGAAATTTTCAATAAATTTTTTCAAAAATATTGTGAAAAGCCGACAAAATTGTTGGTATAAAATTTTATATAATTTTATGAAATAAAATTCTTTAAAATTTTATTAAATTTCAAAAAAATCAAATATTTATGTTTAATATATAATTAAAGTACCATAACTACTGTCATAAGTGGAAGGTAGCTTCGACAAATAACTGGAAGGTCGCTCGAATCCTTTGGAGTGGTCAGTAGAAAATTCAGCCCCCGGGAAATTTTCTTCTCCCGGTAATGATGGGTCTTTTTGCAAGGGAGGGTACAATTCAGCGTAACCGTGGACATGACAGCTACAGCAAGATGGAATCTTGAAAATGTCAATATGCAGACCGATATCGTTGTCCCAGGTTAGTAGTCGGTGGTAATTGTACACTTGGATACAAGATGAGCGGTAATTGTCTGATATGAATGAACAACTTGATTTTGGTTTTCTGAAAATCAATTTTTTTTTCTTTCAATTAATTACATTTAATTTACATTGAATTTATAATAATTTTTTAATTTTTTTAATAAAATGATAATTATCTTGATTTAAAAAAGAAGAAAATTTTTATAATTGTTTTTATAAAATTAATTCAAGGAGAAATTTTAATAAAAATGAATAATTGTTTAAATAAAACACTTACGAGCATTTTTCTAACCGCAATGTTTGTGTATGATCGCCAGTATTTATAATGTACTTCCAAACGCCAGAAGCCGCTCTAGCTAATTGAGGTCGTGCATACATTACTTGTGACGGACAGGTAAAACCTTCTTCAACGTTATTGTCGATCGCTAAAGGATAATCTGACCTTCTGTAAATAGAAAATATTAAACGTTTGTTACTCTTAAAAAAAAATTATTTCTTCACAATTAATTTTTATAAAAATTTTAAAAGTTTAAAATCACAAGAATTATTTTACGGTCTTTTGTATTGTATATAATATTAATTTTTAATGATAATTTTATGTAATTACTAATAATAATAATAATAAAAATTACTGACATTAATCTAAAGTATAGAGACATTTTACCCTGACAATAAGCTCACGTGGGAGAGGCAAATTTTTTGTAATCAAATGTCCCAAGATTATACTAAATTGCAGAGTACTTATTATTGATAGTTTTCTTTATTATTTTTCCTACTTGACAAAAATAATAATAATTACAAAAATTTTTAACAAAATAACTAAAGTTCAGCAAAATAATATTTTTTTTCTTGAAATATTTCTTCATAATCTTTAATTCTATATTGTAGAATAAAAAAATAAATATTTAAAATATAAAATTGATTGACAAATAGAACAATAAAGATTGCTCAAGATTAGCCAAAGTTTTTTAGTAAAACAGGCGTCCTTGAGTGAGTGAAAAATGAAAAAATGAATTAGAAAGCTTGACGTTAATCGAGACGGCGATCTCTACCGTGATTTAATGAGTTATTTAATCTACTAATTTACTACAACTGTACAACTATATTGTGTACCATACCTTCTGATCTCATTACTCTCGTACCGCTCGTATCTAGTTTCCAGTGGGAATACATCAGCTTCGACGTCGTCATTCCTATCCTCTCGTTGGATGTTGTAATCCTTTAGCAAGTGGTCAACCATATCTCGGTTTCCTCTTATGCTTCTCAGTATCGCTTCTCTGGTTCATTCAATGTATTAATTTTTTAATAAATTAATAATAAAAAAAAAAAATAATAATTGTATAAAAATTATTTTTAAACTAAGATTAATCAATCAACTTTGACTAGTAAATTAATTTTCAGAGAAGTTAATGGCAGTTTAGTCTAATTAATAAAAATTTTAATAATTATATGCAATATTTCGGATGAAACTCTGTTCATCTATCATCAAACTTTTTTAAAATATAAAATTTTTTACATAAGTACAAAATTATGATTTTATTTATAAAAAAACTATTTCATTCATAAAAATCGATGAATATTAATTATATTAGTAAATTTCATACGATAGCGTCTCTAATTTATAATGAATCTTCTCCAAACTCAACATACTTAATTTTTGAACGAATACCAAGGTCAAGTTTATAGATGAGCTTAATCGGTTAAGGAGTTCAGAAATTATACGGCTTCAAAATTTTCAAACTCGTAAAAATTCATATTTTGACAATTTTTTTCGCGGATTACTTTTTAATGAAATAATTTATCGAATTTTTGTAAATCCTCTAAATTAAAAGAGATGAAATTAAAATAAGCTTGAAGTTAACCAAGTATCGAATTATTGCAAAAATGGGGTCCCCGATTCCTTATTTGTTGAAAAATTAAAGCGCGCAATTTAAATTTCTAGTTTAAAATTTTAAAGCCCATTAAACGAGCTTTAATTTTCATGTAATTTTATTCTCCTAGACTGAAAATAACCTGTAGATATTTAATTAAATTTTACTATTGTATTCGTTTTAACTTAGGAAGAAGGGATTCTATCAATATGATTGAAGTGTTTGTATTATTAGTGTTGTGATTTTATTCAATAGTAAATTCTTTATAATCACAGATAAATTCATGATTTTGTACTTATTTAAAAAAATTTTTGTAAATTTAACTTGTAATATAAAATATTCATTTTAGATGATCCTAATGATAATAAATAATAATAATAATAAATAATAATGGGATACTTACTGTGGATAATTTAAAGTTTTTAAACAAACAGTTTTTCCAAAAAATGTACAGTCACTTGTCGTTGGTTCTCTTTTGTTACTATCAGCTGGCTTACGAACTGGTCGTTTTGATCCTCTTAATGGTTCTAAAAAAATTACAATTTATTATTATTATTATTATAATTCAGTAATTAATTATTCATTACCAGCAAATTGCAGTTATTATTCGACTGTCAAAAATTACTAATTATAGATAGTAAAATTTTGGCTTAATAATTTTTGGATATTATTAATAATAT